GGAAGGCCATTTTTTTGGATATTGAATGCTACAGATCACGAATTCGGCCTGAGGCTATTCTTCAACGATGATTGAGTCCATTAAGAACCGATTTGGGGGGATTTATTCCATGTCAATTTTTGGCAGATTCCAAAGGGGTACCATCACAGATTTCGAGCGATTTTTCAGAAATGTCATTTTCTTTCGATTCAGGAGGCTACAGATCACAGAATCAAGCCGATGCTATTCTACACCGATAATAAAGTCTATTGATCCTATTCTCCATGGATGATATGTCCATTAAGCACTGATTTGAGCCAATTTATTTTCGGATTGCATTTTCGTAATTTTTTGGGCTACGAAAGGCCATTTTCTTTGGATATTGAAGGCTACAGATCACGGATTCGGCCTAGGCTATTCTTCCACGATGATTGAGTCCATGAAGAACTGATTTGGGAGGATATTACGCGTCAATTTTTGGCAGATTCCAAAGGGGTACCATCACAAATTTCAAGCGATTTTTTCGAAATGCCATTTTCTTTCGATTCTGGAGGCTACGGATCATGGAATCAGGACGAGGCTATTCTCCACCGATAATGAAGTCTATTGATCCTATTCTCCACGGATGATAAGTCCATTAAGCACATATTTGAGTCCATTTATTTTCGGATGACATTTTCGTAATTTTTTGGGCGACTAAAGGTCATTTTTTTTTGTAATGTCTATTTTTTATCCAAACATTTTTCAGATTCTTTTAAATTATCTAAACCTATCGAAATACTAAAAATTAGCCAAATGTTAACTTTCAGTTAGCAATTTTATTACTAATATTGATTTGACAACATGATACTGACTTGGAAGAGACCCATGAAGATTAACATTCTAAAATTTTAGTATTTTAAGTAAGTAAAGAGTTACAAAATTATTAATGATAACATATAATGGCTAATATTTTGATGCATTATGAAACATTTGGCTAATTAATAGAATTTTAATATGTTTGGATAATATAAAAGAATCAGAAAAATGTTTTGATAAAAAATAGACATTGCCCTTTTTATAATGGTGAAATGTTTTAATGAACTTGTGGTATTTTTTTCCTGAGTTTGTGATATTTTTTATGAGATTTTTGTATACTTTAGAGAACTTGTAGCCTGTCTTAAAAAATTTGTGGTATGTTTTAATAAATAAGTGATCCGCTTTAAGAAACTTGTAGTCTGTTTCATGAGATTTCTCGCATGCTCTATGAAACTTGTAATTTGCTTTGAGTTTTCTGATATGTTTTATGAATTTTGTGGTGAGGTTCTGGTATGATTTATGGTATATGTGGTATGTTTTGTTGTGTTTCTAGTATTTGTTTGTGGTATGCTCCTCATGATACTTGTGGTTAGGCGCGAGAGAATTAATGCACAACATCACACGCGTGTGCTCTCTAATTTTTTTAATGACAAGCTTGCACCTCCCTTTATAAATCTGAATTAATTGTGAAAAGTACTTAAAATAAAGAAAGTTATCAAAACGAAATATTCCAATTGGCTAAAACTAGTGTTAATATCAACTTACTCGATGAGGCACAAATGGAGGAGTGTACAATCTATGCCACTCCAATATAACAAACGGTTCTGTGTACCACAACTTATTCAAATGCAGATTATGCTGAGTGTCTAAAGTTGGCTAGTTCCTTCATACCTTGATGATTACAAGCAGCAGGATCACGTTCTAACAAATTGGATGCTAGCAGTTAGAGCCCTAATTAACCTCTCTCTAGTAATAGTGAGATTCTTTGTCATGACATAATATAACTTCTTACGGAATATTTTTATAAGTACTTTTTACGAAAAAGGTGAATTCACGTAATTTCATTGATATCATTAATTTATTTATTTTTCCTACGCTCATCAATTAATTAATCACATCACACCAATCACATTAACTTCTCATTATCTTTTAGCCAATGGAATCAAATTTAGCCTTCATTATTTTATTCAAATAATAAAGGCGTGCCATATTTTATTTATTTATGTCACAGATTATGTTTAGTATACATTTGTCGTTATAATTTTCCCTGTTTCTTTATAAAAAAAAGAGCCGTTGCTTGCATCAACCTTAATCTCTGCGAAGGATGCATGATTGCATGAATTGGTTAACATTCTAAACATCTGCCGTCTTTCAGAAAAAAACTCAAGAGGCGTTTCAGAAACTTCCAAAGTATTTATGTTATTATTTTAGGAAAAGTTCGTCTCTGTCTATATTGTTGGATACTTGGGTTGCTCCCCGGACGGCCATTTTGTTCTATAGTGGTGGAATAAGAATGGGAACTGGGACGCCATATAATCGACGGCAGAAGTACCGGTTCTTGGACGATTTTAGGATTCGAGTTTTCTTCGGTTGAACATTCCATCCACGAATATTCTACCGCTATTTAACAGTTGGATCATACCATCAGCATCAATTTCAGTGGAACTACAGCAGCTTGTTAAGAAATGATAAATTCAATTATCACGAACATTTTAGGATATTTCAAAATAATGATTATTTTTTGAAGGGGTGGTTGGGATGGATCAATTAGAAAATAAGTCAATTCAAATTACATACCCTCATTTAAGACAATTGCAATTGTCTCAAAACGAGTCAATTCAATATTTCTCTGAGGAAATTGTTCCATCCAAATTTTATACTGTCAAATGCGTTAATTTGACCAAATTGTTTTAAAATGAGACATTTGTGTCAAATTGATTCGTTCGAATTTTCATCTAAAACGACCAGTTAGAATTCTGGATGTTTTAATGACTAGAAAATTGTTATTCAACCTCTAACTAACTCAATATTTGTGATGGATTTAAACGCATGATATATCGAACTATACAAGTTAATGTTTAATATCGAAAATCATATTTATTGCATCCATAACTTAATTTCCTTTTTTTAGAAAGGTGATCTAAGTTTGTTTTTATAGTTAGGAGATTAAAAGATTCGAACTTAAGACCTCCAAGTTTAAGATTAATACCACTGGACCAATCTCTTGTTCGCTCCTTCTTAGCTTTGCTTGTCGCCTAAGAAAAACGCTTAGGGATAAAGACCCCTTGTGAGATGTAGGTGGGTGTTTGGATCACGTGGATCAAAAAGTTAAAAACAATTCACCACTTATGATCGTTAAGGCATCCCTTACATATTTATTTATTTATGGCACAGATTGTGTTAAACATACACTTGTCGTTTAAATTTTCCTATTTGTTTGGAAAGAAGAGCTGTTGATTGCATTTTCCAACCTTAATCTCTGCGAAGGATGAATAGGTTAACATTCTAAACATCTGCCGTCTTTCAGAAAAAACTCAGAGGCGTTTTAGGAATCTTCCAAAGTATTTATATTAGTCTATATTTATGTTGTTGGATACTTGGGTTGCTCATCGGACGGCCATTTTGTTCAATAGTGGAAGAGTTGTATGGAATGAGAGTGGGAAGTGGGACGCCATATAATTGACGGCAGATTCTCGGACGCTTTTAGGATTGGAGTTTTCTTCGGTTGAACATTCCATCCACGAATATTCTACCGCTATTTAACAGTTGGATCATACCATCTAGGCATCAATTTAAGTGGAAGTACAGCTAGCTTTTTAAGAAATGAAAAATTCTATCATTACGGCCATTTTAGCACATTTCAACATAATTAGTTTTTATATGATATTAGAGTTTTGGATCTTTTGATCACTAGAAAATTCTATAAATTTTGTGAACCAGCGGGTTGATTCGGTGAATAAAACGGGCGTGGAATACGGGTGCCACACACCCACTGGTCGACACGTAGAAACGTTATCGAGTTGGAGGTCACACAACATTTTTTTTTTAGTTTGCGAATTACGCTTCTTTTCTGATTTTCCCATTCGCCTAACCCTATCTTTGGAAGTCTAAGTTGAACATTTGAATATTGATGTTATATGAGCGTGTATGAGTTTTCACTATATGGTGGTTCAAAATCAAAGGTAATACCACTAAACCAAACATTTGTTTGCTCCTTCTTAGTTTTGCTTGTCGGCTAAGAAAAACGGCTAAGACATGAAAATCCCATTGTCATATGTGGTTTGGTGTTTGAATCACGTGAATCAAAAAGGCAAAACAATTAACCACTTATGATCGTGGAAGCGACAAAAGTGACCCCCTTGACACTTGATATCCTCCTCTCTCGTCAAGGTAGAGGGTACGTCAATCGTCCTCCTTATTATCTTTAGAGGGATATTTGACACTTAGCCAAATTATTCACTCTCGTCATCGTGTTACGCGTGATGACCCCCTCACCACACCAATGAGATATGTTGATGACCACCATGATGTAGCTCCTCCATACTTAACCAATTTCTTATCCCTCAGATTGTCACACTAGGAGCACTGAACCCCATCCCCCTTCCCATCGAACTAGGAACCGCGCGTGAACACTTCGTCAAATTTCCCTCCCACATTATCTCGCTCCTTTCCTCCATACTTTTTCAATTCCCATCTCAGCTCATTGCATTAGAAGATATGCCGATGAACCCTCTCATCATATCAAAGGGTCTCACCACTTAGTCAAATTTCGGAGTTCACAGTGATACAGAGGCGCGTATAGTGTTTTAGGTCCAAAAATTCAATTGACATAATTCATCTTAATTTATTTTAATTGATATAATTAAAGGGATCTTATACAATCATTTAATTTCTTATATTTAAACGATGTGTTTTGTGTAAACACCAAACAAAATCGTATTTTAAACAACCGAATGGCATCTAAATCTCGCAGCCCACCACCCTACATAGCGACAGCTTCCGGCCAGCATTAATCTAACTGTACATTAATTTTCAGCACAATGGAGACTGTGAAAATGTCTTTGTCAGAATGACATAATATATATCACGAACCCATTTTGACACAAATCACAAAAACAAATTCAATCCCCTTCATCATTTCCATGGACAACAATCATCTCTTGTACGAGGATGACTCATCATCATCGGAAGAACTGGGTTCGGAAGCAAGCAACGGCCAGGAGATGTCGACCGGACAGATCATGAGAATGGCGGCGGCGAGAATCATCAACCTCGAGTCCCGAACCGTCGACGTGGAGGCACTTTTCAAGAACCCGTTCGACCTCTGCCTCTCCAGGATTTCCTACGAGGACGCGCGCAACGTGGAGCTCGTGGAGTACGTCCTCGCCGCCGCCGAGAAAGTCGGCAACCGCCAGTTCGAGCTCGCCGCCGAATTGCTCCGCCTCTGCGACTGCCTGTCTTCGCCGGCCGGGAACCCCGTCCAGCGCGTCGCTCACTACTTCTCACGCGCGCTCCGCGAGAAAATCGCGAGAGGAACGGGAATGCTCACGGCGGGGGAAGAAAAAAACCGGCAGCAACCGGGAGATTTTCAAAACGGCGCCGTACAAGCGCTGTACGAGAAAATCCCATTCTGCCAGGTGGCGCACCTCGCGGTGACGCAAGTGGTGCTGGAACACGTGTCCCACGCCAAGAGGATCCACGTCATCGACCTGAGGATTCGGAACGGGATGCAGTGGATCCCACTTATGCAGGCTCTGGCGTCGTCCCAGTGCGACCGACACGTGGAGATTCTGAAGATCACGGCCGTGGGGACTACAGCGGGTCCCACCACGAGGCGGGATATTGAAGACACGGGGAGAAGGCTGACGAGTTTCGCCAAGGCCATGAATCTTATGTTTGAGTTCAAGGTCGTGATGGTTTCGGTCATATCTGACGTACAAGATGATATGTTCGACCTCGATCCTCGAGAAGCCACGGCTGTGTACTCGGAGTTCTACCTCAGAAAGCTGGTGGGCACGGGAGGGCCAGCCAGCGACCAAATGGACAAGCTGATGGCCACGATCAGAGCCATCGGGCCGCGAGTGATGGTGGTGGTGGAGGCCGAGGCGAACCACAACTCCTCGAACTACGCGCGTCGGTTCGTGGACGCCCTGTTCCACTATGGTGCACTATTCGACTGCATCGGCGAGTGCATGGTGGAACCGAACGATTCGGGTCGGGTCGAGTTGGAGTCGAGGGTGCTGGCCGGGTGGATTCGAAACATCGTGGCGGCGGAAGGGGAGGAGAGGAAGATAAGGAGTGTGACGATGGACGTGTGGAGGACACTCCTTGCTAGGTTCGGATTAGGGGAGGCAAAGATGAGCGCGTTGGTGCTTTATCAGGTGGGTTGGGTGTTGGGCCGGTTTTCGTGTGGGCGGTTTTGTAAAGTCGACATTAATGGGAAGAGTATAGTAATTGGGTGGAAGGGTACGCCCATTGTTTCGATTTCTGCCTGGAAGTTTAGCCGTCCCAGAAAACAAAACGGTGATGATCGCAATTAGGTTGGCATGGTTGTGATTACTAAACAAGAGCTCTTTTTTTTCTCTTTTGATTAATGGATAAAACGTTCTGCTAATAGACAAGTAAGTGGCCAATTTTATCCGTACCCAATCAAAGAAGAGGTTGTAAATGACAGATAAGTGCGATTTTCTCAACTCATGGAGGTTTTTAAAGCACTGGACCATATCTCGGGAGTTTGTTGAGGCCAACGTGTAAAATTTAGTGGCTACATTATTTATTGATTGATTGATTTGAACTCAATTTTCATGTTAGTGATAATACTTGAAAGTGATATTTTTTGTACCTCATTATTGGTTATATACGTTTCTATTTGATGCAATTTTAGATTTTTAGTATGAAAATTATAACTATTTGTCCAAAGTGTGATTATGGATCTTAGTTTTGTGTATACTTTTGATGCCCTTTTCGGTAGTTGTTAGTACTTTTCATTTTTCAAGCACAAGCGCACTTAGGACGATTTATGGGGTGAGTTTGGAATTGGAACTTACAAAAACTAAGGCCCAGAAGCTAGAAGAGGGGCGACCATAGCAAAGGTCCAAGACCGTCATTGGCAAATCAAGCCCAAATTTCACATGAAATCATTTGGATGAAAAAGAGACCAATTGGGCCAATTTTCACTGTCAAAGCCCAACGATGGTCCAAACCCGCCATCGAGATCGTTGCTAGTTGCTACTCTAGGAGCCTAAAAACTTGGAGTCAAAATCAATAAAGAAGTCTAAATCGACTTGAATAAAGTTCTAGACCTAAAAAACCGACTTTAGAGCTCGAAAAAACTTTAAATAGGAATCAAGGGTAAGCCTTTTGAGAACCGCGATCGATCATCGTCTTTTCTCTCAGTTTTGCAAGGAAGAAGGATGTCGCCAATCACTGTTATGAATTCCTCTTCCCTTACGTTGAGCTAAACACTCTTGTTATTTATCGAGCGGATCTTGGATGTTTTATGTACTATGGTCTTGATAATATAATATATATTTTTCAAGGTTTATGTTAATGATTTATTGTTCTTGCTTGATTTCATTTGATGTCATATATGTTTGATGATATCGCTGCTCATATGTGTCGATGGGAAACTACTCATTTGTGTGTGATGATTATTGATTATTATTATAGGTTTAACGAGGCCATGGATCTTCGATAATAACCAGATTACTAAGCTTGAAATGAGCTTGAATCCTTCATGATACTTGTGCTTCATATCTAATTTATGTTGATGACACAACGCTCATAAAGTTAGTTTATTATTCCTATTGCATGACAAGATCTTGAGAGTGTGATATCTTTAATTTTGCTCAAACCATGGGATAATTTTATGGGTTTTCAAGAGAGCAATAGCAAGGAATAGGTCAAATAGCAAGGGGGGAAATTATATTGCAGTGAAAAAAAGAACAAGGAACAAGGTCAAATAGCAAGGAAAAGGTCAAATAGCATGATACATGTCACGGTGAAAAAAATGAAGGCGTTCTTTTTTCAAATCGGGATCACTAAAATCCTAATTGTGCCGCAGAGGGCATCTTGCGGGCTGATTATTTAGTATTAGTCGAAAAACAAAACATGAAACGGAATCACAATCGGCATCACTGAATCTTAGGCCATTGTCGGTCAACATCAAATTCTAAGTTCTAACATAGGGCGGGGAGCAGTTGTTTGTAGTGCAATCAACGGTCAAACAGGTCAACAGCGCCGGACCACACAGCTCACAGTTCACAAATCACAACATAGTACTGAAGACCGTGTATCTTTTGCACGGAAAATGTCGGGGCTTACTTTTCATCAATTTTTTCAAGAAATAAGAAACCAGTTAATTAGTCGAAGAGTTTCAAAATTTATCTTGCATTTTAATGATGCATTCAACCGCAGGTTACAGGAAGCCACCTAGCTAGCTGTCAGCTGTGAGGGCATATTACATATAGTGTAATTCCACTATAATCGAATTCTTATGAATCGGTGTTTTACAATGTATTAGAGTAGGATCATGTCAGGAAATTATCCAAATTCATTTTAAACCTCATCCAACAAATATCTTTTGTTGCTTGATGGATAATAATATTTTTAGTTTTTAAGACGAGTGGTCATGAAACTATGTCCAAAACTAGGTACTCTGATTTTCATGAATAAGAAATTCACTGACCCCTAGTAATTTTCCATCGAATTATAAACAATAAAAATTCGAATCTAATAACAAATATGTGTGAACCTCATACCTGCATATCACTGGGTCAGTCCACTCACAGACTAGTATGACACGACACGGTTAGCACGCGACATAAGAATAGGCGCGCAACATATGGACTGATCCTGCACAAGTACGAATATTTCATGTATTCGGACCGAAACTTCATGAACGCGGGCTTAGAAACTATAAATGGACCGTGACAGGCCTAATAGTTTTGGGATCCATTGAGTATAGGCATGCATGACTGGGCATGAAAAATATACATATTTTTATAGAAAATTAATATAGATATAATTATGAGTTCAAAAAATAGTTAATAGACCTACAAAATAATGATTTCTTAAGTGATTAAAAAAGATTTAGCATAATTACTACTATAAATAAAAACTTTTTAAAAGAATTAGAGCACATAGATGTAAAATCACACTCGCTATACATTTTTTCTTCTCCTTATTTGTTACTTTGCAGTTTTCTCAAGTCTTTCTCAATACTACTTTCATTCCCCGCAATAAATTCCCTTCATCCCCAATACAACATTTATTTTATTCATTTTCATTGAGCACAAACATGCTTAATACGATTCAAATCAAACTCGAGCTCAAACTGCACCAAGCAAGTTTGAAAAATGGAATGGTACAATATGCATGACATGAAAACTTTTAAACTTATGAATCTAACAAAGTACACCACGAAATAAATGAGTTTAAGACGAGCTCGCCATGGCGATACAACCACAAGCTCGCTTGAGAATAATAATTGTGTTTGGTCATTCACTATTTAGTGACTAATCCTCATTAGAAAATTCTCTCACATATGACATAAATATTGTGGCGCCGATAACATTTATAGTAGTAATATAGACTACAAATGTTACAGCTAAGATAATTGGGAAGTCGAAGGTTGAATCTGTTGTACAAAGTTATGACCGAATTGGCTACTTATAATTTTTTTTTTTTGTGAAGGTGAAAATTATATTAAAACACAAACCACCCGTTATTATTATTGCTTGTCATTGTTGAGAAGGATTTATAGTCATAGTTACTAAATACTCTGTTTAATACACGTATATGTACCCGTACGTACTTTATTCGTTTAAAACTTTCGTATCCGTATTATTGTCAAGCCGTTTCATTTGTATTTGTTTATTTGACGGCTCCCGTACTAAACACGTATAAAACCCGTATAACAGGTATAATATCCGTATTTAATGAACTAAATTATTAACTTAACTATTTTTTATATATTTATTTATTTTTAAAAATAATTAGTTTTATGTATTTATGACTATTAACATATTAGTAAACGTAACATTAGCTCAGAGACGAAGTAAAATACCCATACATATTTTATACATAACTTTCCGTACCGTATTTTACTAACTATGTTTACAGTGAAATGCCTCACGTTAAGATGTAGGGTTTGCGAAAACTCCATATATATTAGGAACCGTCTAGCAGAGTAATACGAGATCGAGTCGCGTTAATTTGCTGTCATCATTTGACTAACAAAGTTAAAATTAAACTTTAAAGCTATCGACTAATCCCTGAGTAATAAACGCACAATTCCTTGATCCCTGCCAACGTAACGCCAAGACGAAACATTTTGCATGCAAGTCGTAATCCTCAGCTCTCTCGATTTGCATCAAACCCACGTTGTCCTTTGCGACCTGCCGGCTGTATTCCTTCCAAATTGTCAACATCGGGAATAAAGAAACGTTCTAGGAAAGAAATGTACATAAATCGTATACAAGTTACGAGATATCAGATTTCTAGCTTAGGGGTAGGGGTGTTACAACACGGTTCTAAAATTTGATAGAAAAATTATGGACTCCATGTGGTAATTTTCGGTTTACAAGAAAGAAAAAAGAGTGATCGTTTCTAAATTTTGAACTCGAGTCTTAACCTTATAGTTATATCAAAGAAGATGTTATCTATACGCAAACTCACTTTTGTAAACTTTGCAACATTAAATGTATTTATACTAAATAAAATATAAATTGTTCAATTTTATCAAAATGCTAAAAGTTGAAACCAATTTTCATTTGGTGTTCGCCTCCTCTCTTTTGAACACATGAATCAGGAAAAGAAGCCTTCTCGATTGGCTTAATTGCAAGTTTGGTCACTCGAATTGCTACAAAATTTCACGTTTGCCACTCAAATTAATTTATTCTATTTATAGTCACTCGAATTAGTTGAACAGTTCAAGTTCGGTCACTCTCCGTTAACCTCCGTTAACTTTGACTGACGTGGCGGTCAACTCTGACAGTTGACCGTTAAATGTGTGACGTGGCAAATAAAAAATAATTAAAAAATAAAAATTAAATTTTTAAAAAATAAAAATCATTATCACAAAAAATTATAATTATAAAAAATAAAAAGAAGAAATTATCACAAATTTCCCCTCCTAGAACCCTCAATCGCCGTCCCGCCATTCATCCACCGCGCCCCGCCGTCGTGATTTCCGCTTCCTCAAAATGTCCAATTGACAATTTCTCCTCGTCTCCTGCCATCACTATGCCCACTATTCAAACACATTGCTATCTCCCCAGTCCCGGCCTCGTCTCCAGGCGCTCTCTACTTCCCGGAGCTCCAACTCCAATTGGGCATGGGTCTTTGGGTTTCGGGTTCTCCGCCCCTTCCCACAGCGTTAAATTCTCCTTCCCGGCAGACTCCTTCGGCAGGAAAAGTAGTTCTTTCGGTTCTGATAAGGGCAGCGCCAACGGACAACGGCGGCGGCGATGTGGGACGGTCAGGGCCGCTGGGAGAGACCACTACTCGACCTTGAACGTCGGCAGGAAGGCCTCATTGCAGGAGATCAAGAGTGCCTACAGGAAGTTGGCTCGTAAGGTGAGTTTGCTGCTTTCTTCTGGGATTGGCATTTTTTTTTTTAATTTGCCACTGCTTGAGAACCATTGATGGTTTCTACGATTCGGCTAGGATTTTGCTGTTGCTGTTTATTGCTATTCGTATGGCTGACGCTGGGAGCGTCGCCGCTGGACCCCGCCGCGGCCGCGCTGGAACTCTGGACCGAGGATGGAGTAGTCGCAGCAGCAGTAGCGACGGTGATGGTATTGTCATGATTACCACCACCACCAACACCGTTGCTCTTCCCAACAAAGCCGCCACCGCCGCCGCTGCTACTATTTTTCTCCTTTTGGAATGGCTGGAATGCGCCTCCTGATCCGTTTCTCCTCACCTCCTTCACCACCGCTTTTCTCGGCACCTCCTGAAGCGTTGGAGAAATTTGTGATAATTTCTTCTTTTTATTTTTTATAATTATAATTTTTTGTGATAATGATGAGTAATTTCTAAAAATTTAATTTTTATTTTTTAATTATTTTTTATTTGCCACGTCACATATTTAACGGTCAACTGTCAGAGTTGACCGTCACGTCAGTCAAAGTTAACGGAGGTTAACGGAGAGTGACTGAACTTGAACTGTTCAACTAATTCGAGTGACTATAAATGGAATAAATTAATTTGAGTGGCAAACGTGAAATTTTGTAGCAATTCGAGTGACCAAACTTGCAATTAAGCCCTTCTCGATTAGGGGAGACTTCCTCTTCTTCTTCTTCCTCTTCTTTAGCCTCGTGACTCGTGAGATCCCCCGGCCTCCACTATAATCTCAAGGCCTTTGGGGACTATTACCATCATGTGAAGAATGTTAAGAGACTCTTTAGATTAAAAGGAGTTGATAATCAACTAAGATTAGGGTGAATACAAAAGTGAATTTATTATAATTCTAATTACTATTACTATTATTATTATTATTATTAGAGGTCTATTTGCTTATGAGTATTGTATTGATTTTATTGGTTGTAATTGCGAAGTGTTGAAAGGGCCTTTTATTTTTGGGCTACAACAAAAACAAGTTTCAAAATCGAGTATGTGATATGTTTGAGAACCATTGTCTAGCATGATATACGGAAAAAGTTTCAAAATCAAAGTATGTGATATGTTTTTGAAATATTGTCTAGCATGATATACTGGAAAGGAATGGGGACACTATAGACATTGTTTACATTTTTCAATGATTTTTGAACGTGGTATGGTAGTTTATTATAACTTTTACTAGTTGAATATTTATTATTTAATAAATTAAAATGTTATTATTTTAATTTTTTCAAGAAGACACCATAAGAAAAATTATTAAAGTGATAACGATCTTATTATATGCTTGTACTTATTACTATAGTATTCATAGTAAGGAAATGATATAAGAATAATTCTGGAACCTCTTCTAACCATAATTTGATTAGAGTTGCGTGAGCCAGTGGCGTAGCCAGACATCAAGTTCATTGGGGTCCTTAAAAATGTACTAACATAAATGCTTGTGTACCTAATGAATTTTAAGTTAATCGGGGGTCCTTGGTGAGCTAACATCGTTGAGAGTGGGGTCCTAAACTTGAATTATCGTATTAAAACCTATGTATTTAAAGGGTTTTGTTGCCCAATTATTTGCCAAGTGGGGTCCTCGGACCCCTCTCCTCCTTACCTCCCTCCGCCACTGGCGTGAGCAATGAAGGAGTTAGGTTGAATCTAGTAGAGGTTATAACCCCTTCAAATTTAGAACATAGGAAAAATTATATTTAAAATTGATACTAAATTTAGCAAAGTAGAGTAATCGGTAAGATCTTAACCCCTCTCTACCAATTATCATGATTTAAGTCAACTACTCCAAATTTTTGGCTCCGTCATTATATTATATATATAAAAATGAATACAAGATTGTACGGAAACGTGACTGTAAATTGGCACGGGCTTAGTCTCCAATGTAAGACAAAACAAACACATATATATCCTAAGCTCCCTACCGATATTGTCTCTCTCTCTCTCTCTGTACACAGATTCCAGAAAAGCGTTACACGCACAATCACATATTCACATTCACATATGTACCTCCGCACAGTGGCGGATACATGCATGTTTAGGGGTGTCCCAGGACACCCCTAAAATTTGAAAACACGATTATTCAACCTTCGATAGTAGTTTGCGTATAAGCAAAAATTGTTTAAGTGGTATTGGGACACCCTTAAATTTTGGGGAAATGATTATCCAACCTCCCGTAGTAGTTTGCGCATTGGTACAAATAATATTTAAGTAGCAGTATATGTGATTTAAACTTGAGACACTGTCATTATTAGTAAACCTATTTTCAAACTACAACGCATTTGTTATTGTGTTTTAGATCCAAATATAATAGTAAAATGTTATCCTTATCTCAAATTATTTTCAAAACTTAACGATTAAACACAATTATCATATACCCTTGTCTAATAAGATATGTCGAGAGATATTTGTTGAACAGTATAGACACCGAATGTATTTTAACATTTTATGAACCACCTATGAACTTTTAATGTAATTTTTAGTGGTCAGATATTTTTATATTTAATAATTATTTAATTTAATTTTTGGAAGAGGACACCCCTATATAGATGTAAATTTTATTGGTCAGATATTTTTATATTTAATAATTATTTAATTTAATTATAATATTTAATTTAATTTTTGGAAGAGGACACCCCTATGTATATTTCCTAGATCCGCCACTGCCTCCGCACCACTTCTCCCAAAACCACAACTTCCCGCACAACCACCACTACTACTGCCACTATGTCACCCCAAAACACCGATCTCCCGCCGATCTTCTCACCGGCGTTCGACGATCCGCCGCCAGAATCCCCCATGGACCTCCACCAGATCATCGAGCAGCTTGCCGCCGATCTCCACAACGCCCAAAACGACGACGTCGCCTACGGCCGACGTCTCCCCGCCGAATGCAACATCACAAGCACTCCCGCAGATCTGAACCGATTCTCCGCCGCCTCGCTCGACAACCTCATCGACCGCTTCTCCAACAGGAAGAGGAAACAGCCCGAAACGACGACGGATCGGAACCGAACCGGAAGAAGACGGCTCTCGACCGACGAGATCTTGAAGCTGGCCGGCGCCAGGATCATCCAGTCGTCCACGTGGACGGCAGAAGATGACGGCGCCGTCAACGTTCCGTTACCCGACACCGTTGATGATCACCGCGACGGCATCATCACTCCCGAGGAGTCCAAAAACGTGGAGCTCGTGGAGTACCTATTGCGATCCGCCGAGAAATTCGGGAAAGGCGAGTTCGGGCAGGCGAGCGGCCTCCTCGATTTCTGCGAAACATTGGGTCCCCGGGATTTACAGACCGGGGACCCTATCCAGCGCGCTGCGTACTATTTTTGCAACGCGCTACGAGAGAAGATGACGGCAGAAGAAAATAATCGTAATAGTAATACTACAGTATCAGCCAGCGTTGAGGCGAGGAAAGTAGTAGTACTTCCTGCGGGGTGGGAGTACTACTTCCACGGGAGGGTGCCGTTTTTCATGGCTTCCCAAATGGCGGGAGTGCAGGCCGTACTGGAGAGCGTGTGGGCCGAGAAGCGGGTCCACGTGGTGGATCTGAGGATCCGATCCGGGTTGGCGATGATCGCGCTGATTCAGGCTCTTTCGGGTCGGGGGAATGAGGCTCCTCAGCTGGAGCTGTTGAAGGTCACGGCCGTGGCGGACGATGAGTCGGAGGTGGAGGTTTGGCGGGAGACGGGAGTGAGGCTGGCGAGTTTCGCTAGCGAGATGAACGTGCCGTTCGCGTTCAAGATCGCTAAGGTTTGTGTATAAACTGTTTCTATATATGTAGTGCGATACGGTAAAAATGATATTTTCCTCTCTAGGGTTTAGGAAAATTCCTACCGCTGCTTAATTAACTTCAGTTGTTTAAGAAGTAATGCAGATATGCCTGTTGAATCATGAAAAGATATTTACTATCCGGTCATCATGTGATGAGGATAGTGATAGGGTGTAAAGAAATTATACAAAGTTATATCTAAAATTTCTCCAAACAATTTAAGTTATGAGGATGAACTAACTTTTGACAGAGCGAGTCAGCCTTGTTCTATGTCAAGAAGTATATGGTATCAATTACTCGAATTGTTGGTAGAGATTAAAAAAAAATCATATCTTCCACAAATCATTGAAAGCAAAATCAACCAATGAGTTTGAAGTTTTCGTAGACCTGTCATATTTTATGTTTAAATCCTCTTTTAACATTGCAGGTTATGAGGGTTCAAATATAATACCTCCTAAAGACTATGATATCGATCATAAATCAATCAATCTCATTAATTCAAGTTAAGGAAAGAAGTGAAGCATAACTTCTTAACCTCCTAATTCATCTGACCCTATTCTTCTCGATTTTCTATTCTAAACGGTTAGATCTACATTGACTTCCATTAGTCATTCTAACTCTTATTTTTCCCGTGTAATTAAATTAGGTTCATCTCTTCTCTCTGGAATTTGACTACGTTTGAATTTTTTTTCCTTCTTTCTCTTTAGAGAGTGGATTTGAAAGAAGAAGAAGAAAGAAAAAAAAAACATCGATGTAATTGATTGAGTCCTACTTCCAAACCTGATCCAATTAAACCATCAAAAAAAAAAAAAAAAACCTGCTCCAATTAAACTGAATTTTGAATATTATTCTCACATGTCAATACAGATCATATACATTGAGAAGTGATATGTCACCAACAGTCCCATTGTCAATCCTAAATACAATGTTTGATTTGAGATTTATGTATGTTGAATATTGGCTAGGTGTTTACAACACTATTATTAGGGTCTGATCAATCGTTGGGTGCTCCCTATTTATTAGATGAATGCGTGATATTTTATTTGTAAAAGTTATTCATCTAACAATTACGAAATGTCTAATGTCCAATCGGGCAACTGTTATAAGCATGTCATTACAAATAGGGCTGGCTATTTGGTCCCAGACTGTTTGGTTTTACTCGAAACCGGACCGTATAATCCGGACCGGGATCGGACTGGGACCGGATAGTAAACAATGCAATCTCATATTCGAGCTTAGATTTGAGGTAAAAAACCGGATAAGAGACCCCCAACACCTAAAATTAAGATAAAATTGGGACCGGACCGGGTCAAGACCGGACTGTATCAATCCAATCTTTGGTCCTTATATTCCCGAAAAGACCAGACTGAAACCGGATCAATTTGGTCAAATTTAACCGGACCGGACCGTATAGTCACCCCTAATTACAAATGGTGTTGTAAGCACCATATTCGATTGCTGTGTCATTTCTAGTTGTAGTGCAAGTTTCGGATTCCATGCGAGTGACAATCTGTAGTTCAGTATTGCGTATCTACCTCATTTCCTGTTGTTGACTTCGTTTTGTTCCCCTCACAGGCTCAAGTCCTCGGTCTCAGAAAAACCCAGCTCCAAATCAACTCGAAAGAAGCCACGGTCGTCTACTCCGAGTACGCCCTCAGCCCTCTCATCTCCACGCCCAGCCGCCTCCACGCGCTCATGCGTCTCGTCAAGAGCATCCGCCCTCGCCTCATGGTCGTGGTCGAAACCGAAGCCAACCACAACTCCCCGGACTTCGGCCACCGCTTCGTCGAGTCCCTCTTCACCGCCGCCGCCTGCTTCGACTGCCTCGCCGAGTGTTGCGCCCCTGCCGCCGCCGACGCGAAAGACGACGACCCTGCCGGCATGAGGGAGGCGGTGGGGGCGCGTTTCCTGGGGGAGAGGATACGGAACGTGGTGGCGGCGGAGGGGGCGGAGCGCGTGGTCAGGGACGTGAGGATCGGCGTGTGGAGGAAGTACTTCGCCCGGTGCGGGATGCTGGAGATCGAGCTGAGCGAGCTGGCGGTGCGCCACGCGCGGCTCGTTGTGAACCGGTTTCCCTGCGGTGCGGCGTGTGTTGTCGGCGCGGAGGGGAAGAGCGTGGTGATGGGTTGGAAGGATACGCCGCTGCTCTGCGTTTCGACGTGGAAGTTCGTTGGGCCGAAGAAGGCGAGAGCGGCGGTGGAGAAGAAGCAGCGGCGTCGTAGCGGCAAGAGGAATGGGTGAATTGGAGGGGAAATTACCGTAAATCAAGCGTAAAAAAAGTTTGCATATTTACTGGCTTGGTGGGTGCGTTCATGACATTTCGAAATATTTATACGAATATGCATAAGCGGTTAAATCAGAATTTAAAATGAGATTCGACTTGTATAATGCATGTTGAATATATCATTTTATTTTAATAATGGTGTTACACTAATAGATACTATCGGTTGAACAACAGTAGTATTGATAAACACTATGGTCTTTTCAATACATCAAACCTCTAGTATTTAATATTTGGATTTCGCTCGTCTGAGATGGGGACCATATTCACCGAACGGCACTCTTTCTCGGTGAAGTCTAGGTGCAGCTAGACTTGTAACCAACTCCTCTCCTTGCGATCGATTAATTAGTGCGTCTTTCTGCGGAAAATCAACTGCCAATGTGATTTTTCATGTGTTGAGTTGAGTGTGTGAATTGTGGGAACCAATTTTCTTTTTATATAATAATTTGATCACCCTTTCTCACCCTCCACCTCAATCATTATGGCATAAAACGATATAAAATTCTAACAAAAACTAATTTGTAAAACTCTAGTTTCTGAATTATATAAACCGGATTAGTTAATTTGTAGAATTCTTGAGTCTAATTTATGGCATCCATACCACCGTAGGAAGAAAGGGAAAAAAGTGCCAGGATCTTTCATGGAAGAAAAAGACAAAACAAAACAAAAGGAAGCAAAACGGATTTATCATAAACGGCATTAATGAATCAAAAGTCCTTTTCGATCTCAACGAGGATGATACATCCAACAAATCAACGGTCAAACAGGTCAACAGCGCCAGATCACAAGACACAAAGTACTAAACACTATTTATTTTTTCAACGGACAATGTCAAAGCTTGCAGCTTATGTTTTCCAACATATTTTCTGATTAACAAATTAAAGAAAGAAATAATTTATAATAAACAGTAAATCGATGTGATTCAGATGTAATTATGTGGGATTGTGATGATGTATATATGGTGATCCGCAAGTATCATGATAGGATAGAGCACTGAGCCACATTTGGAAAGAGAAGGAGAGGACTGGGTCATAGCCCGAAGAGCACTAAAACGCATACCTAAACTCGAACATTTACAAGGGTTATACTAGCTCTGGATCCAGGGGAAGGCTGGGTCGTGGCCCGAGAGCAACCCCTAGATTCGCTGCTGATGGTGATTCAAACCCGACTAACCAAGCAAGTCAGGAAAAACAAGGCAATATTTATTAAATTTCTTCTAGCGATTTAAATCGAGATGAATTGGTTTCCACAAGGCATTAAAGTGTTTGATAATCGAAAGGTGTTGTATTTGAATTTCAGTAGGTATCAATAATAATTTTGATTACGTGCAAGTGGGAGTGTGCATTAATGGTCCAGAATGGTAAGAACTAAGAACCAACCATGTTAACTTCCTCTAAGAGTAAGAAAATTTGAGAATCAAATCAAATCGTCAGTGCTTTCGATTTGGTTCAAATATTAATTTGATCATATTTTTTATATTAAAAAAATCACGGAATCGAGGACCAAATTACATTATGGGATAATTTGACCTTGTTGTAACTTTTATAAAAGTTGTTTATAGCTGTAGTTTTTTAAAAACTACTTAAAAGCGTTGAGTATATGGCTGATAAACTATCGGAAGTAGTATTTAACATCAGAGATAATGTAATATAATTTAAATACTTTTTTATATAAACTATGAATAAAAAATTAGAATATATCTTCTTTTGTAATTTTTAGATATTAAATAATATTTTTATATAATTAATTTTAGTTTTAATTTATACAAAATAATGAAATAAAAGCTTTTTTTTTTTTTTTTTTTGAAGAACCCCCAAATTTCCGAAACTTCATAATCATATAAATTTCTTTAAAGAAGATTGACGAGATTTTATTAAGAAATTACTGTACAAGGAAACAAGAAGGATTGATAGAAGAGAAACAAGAGTAGCAGAGAAACAAAAAGACTGCAGATCCTATAGGGAAGAACCCAACAAAAGCTGCAAAGAGCTACACACAAAAAACCAAAAGGCAGGGCGGCAGCCACATAGCTATAGATGAGACAGGACACCCTGCTAATGCAAAAACAAAATCAACACAAATCAAGGATTGAAATACCATATCGGAGATTGTAACAGAAAAGTCAGCGATAGAATATTTTATGTTAAAACTGTGATTCAACCGCTTAATACTATTAAATACCGCCGATACGATATGGTATTTTCTGGTCTAACCGCCGATACGATTCGATATTTAAATCCTTGAAACAAACACGCAAGCCAACCCTACGAGGATATATGGGCACAGAAGAACCAACATCCTCACCTAACTGTCTCATAGTAACATGTTCTCAATCTTGAGGTAAAACTTATTTGAAATCTGACAAATAATTTTGATCTACCAGTAAAGTGATCGTATTTGAAATGTTTTCAGCTTCTGATATCATTCGAACGTGACAATAAGTTATATAAGGAAAATCGATTTAAATGAAATAACTAGTACTAGTTGATGGGATTATGTGATTGGTTAATGATATTCAGGAAATTATCGGAATAAATTGGTTGATTAATTAGTTGATGGAAATAATGGGGGAACAAATTCGGTAAATAATCAAAGGTTATGCAACCGTGCATTTTGTAGATTATATCTGATTTTTAGTCCTGATTTAAAAAAGAAAATTGTACAGAAAATATTAAAATAAGGTTAATTAAAGTCTACAAGATTGACATTCAGTTTGAAATATTTTGGAAGAAAATAAATTATTAATTGATTAATTTAGAAAAATATAGCCTGACGTTACATAAAAACTATATCATGGTGATTGAAATATATCATAGTTTATATCTATAGTTTCATTAGCTGCGTATTACAGATCCGAAGGAGAAGCATCAAAAGCGCTTTTATCTATTGAGCACTTCCTATGTTAGTATATTGGTATAAGATCAATTATTGAACCTCTTCCAACAATTCGAGTTATTGTGGTCAACTGAATCTTGACATGGTATCAAAACCTTATGTGATCGAGAGGTTTTCTATTCGAATCTCGAGAAACTCCATCAGTATGCACATGATGTTTAATTTGATGTCTATACAAAATAAATGAATTTCGTTTGATAGGCTCATTTTGTATATATGTAGAAGATCGATTATCCAACCTCTTCTGTGCAAATAACAAGTCTTACCGTGGTATTAACCGTTCGGTCCTATTCAAACTTTCAGACGTGTTCCAACAAAGAAAATATTCAGGCCTGTGCAGCCCATCTGATCCAAACGTAGTTATTAGTCATCGCCCAAGATTCCTATATAATTTTTTCCCTTTTCTGGGCCAACCATTTTTAAAACGACTAATTTTATTTTACATCTAATCTTGACATTTCTGAGCCTAATGGAGTATCCGTGATTATTTTGTTTCACTGGCCCAACATATTTACTCGTGACTAGCCCAATATATTGGGTCCATATCCAATCGACCCCAACTTCTAGTTATGTTGTTTGGACATTGCCCCAACTTTTAAATATCCATATCTAGCTCGGCCCATTAACATTGACAATATTGGATAATTGGTGGTTAGGCTTGGGTGTTAATAATGCTCCAAATCCTTAGTACATCCTAATAAATTTGTTTTATTTTTTAGATTTTACAGTTAGTAGATGTTTTTTTTGGAGGAATTTTTTTAAAATATACCTTGTTTAGAATACCTTTTCAATCTACGATATCATATTTGTTGATAAATCTACAATATATAGATAGCTGGATATTTTTCTGCAACCCCATTCAAATTTTCTTGCAACGAGAGTGAAAGTAAGAAGGTTATTTTTGTCTTCACAGTGATCTATTTGTTTCTCATTTATTCCTTAAAAAAGAAATGCATATTAGGATTTGAACTGTTATCATTTTTAACAATGACAAGAATCTTAACCAATCAAGCTACATATATTAGTTGTACCATTTTAAATAAAAAAACATACATTAAGCTAACATTAAAAAGTAACAGAACTTTTCAACGGTTAGCTAAGGTCACTAAATCTTCGCTCGGTACTTATTGGTGTTTTTATACATTGATTTTCATACTTTATTCTTTTGATAATACTTTGATACTTAATTTAAGTTTCTATTTATCTTATAATTTTCTATCTATATTATAAGGTCACTAAAGTTCTATTTATCATTGGTTCAATATTACAAATCGAATTGCAATATCGAATTTGTAGAAGCGATGTTGAACTCTTACATTAGTATTACTGTATAGAACTACCGTGAGACAATCATATCCATATCTTTCTGCAAACAATATGGGGATGAGTTCTTTGGATGTTTTAGCTAGACTAACCGTGAAGTTCTAAACATCTTCCTAATCTGACAGACATGATTGGATTCAACAATCATTAAACGAGGTTGAGTTTAATAAGTTGGTTTATTTCCTCTTTTATATGTATTAAAATGAATTAGAGCCAGGACATGTCTACATATACTCTCAACACAATATATACTACTGGCATGATAAAATTGTCGTCCCATTTCAAATTTCCTACAACGAGAGCAAAAATATGAATGACATTTTTGTCTTTGCCATTATTTATCTTTATGTTGTATAGAAAATAGACAAGTATTGGGATTTGAACTAATGTATCTTCAAACACAGACAACAAGAGTCATGACCATGATTGTCAATTCGAGTATGACTCTGCTGGTCAAACCAATTCTACCTAAACCTGAGTATCTCAGCGGATGCCGAAGGCCCAGTTGGTTGTCTACTCGGGCTCGATCAAAGTCGAGTTTATCTATCTCAACGGGAAATCCAACCGAGTTAACCAACTGATTCGAGCACCGGGCCACTTCAAAATGATGTTGTTTTCAACAATTCACATATGTAGTTATGCTGTCATATCAAGCTTTTACTTATCATAGAACCCCACAACATGAAGTATCACAGACAAGGTTTGACTATCCCATCGTCTCTTCTTCTTGCTTTAGATTCGAGAGCCTACAATACAAGACCAAACCATCTCAAAAGCAATCATAATCCCACAATAGTAAATTTTCTTTTTCTCCAAGTGCACAGTCATAGAGCCGGTCGACCTCATCTCATACAAATAAGAAGCAAAAATTATTAGAGAAACATGCATTTGAGTTAAAACTTTGTGTGACTAACAGAGGCCAAATTCCTCATTTGAATTATTATTTAATACTTAATTAAATTCCTATATATATATATCTTATAAATAGAGGATAACTTTAAAATCACGGCCCAAATATCACTGGTTTGAATATTCCATATCGAATTGCAGTATTGAATATGTAAAAGTGATGTATACTTCTTAAATTAGATCTACTATGATACAATCGTATTCATATCTTCGTGTAAATTATATGGGACTGATTCTTTGAACATTTTAGTTCGCCTAACCGTCAAATTTTAAACGTCTTCCTATTCTAACATGATTGGATCTAACATTAGGAGTTTAATAATTTGGTTCATTTCACCTTTTTTAAATGTGCTATTGAATTTGTAGGGAAATGACTTGTCTTTATATACACTCTACAGAATATATAATACTAAAATGAGAAAATTGTTGTCTCATTTCAAATTTCCTACAACGAGAGTGAAAGTAGAAATGATTTTTTTTGTTTCACAATTATTTTTCAGAAACTACAAACTTCCAAAACTCAAAAATTGAGTGCATGCTGGTGGATAAACGATGCATTCATTTCTCTTTTCCTTTTTAAAAAAAAAATAAAACTAAAAACTTCAATAAAAAACAAAAAACAGTATCGTAAACTTTGGTGGGTTTTTATTCAACTTTTGAAGTTTGTTCCCTTTTCGGGCTTAATCAGATTATTTAAAACTATTATCCTACTAAAATTATTTTATTTTTATTTTTTTGATGCATTGTTGTAATATTTTGACTAAAAATGTTAGTAAGTTAAATTATATATTAATTAAAATAATATAATATTCACGCTCTTTCCGCGCACTCAAATTATAATTCTCAAAGGATATACGCTCTTACGCTCCCGTTCTAGCTGGCTCTGCTAATTGGTAAGCTAAATCCGTCGAGTCAATTCGGTAGACAAAGAGACTACTATCAGAATTCGTCTTCCATCACATATTGCCTTCTCTCGCAAGCACCCCCACGCTTAATTCTCACTTGGCCATTCCTCATTAGTTTCACATCTAACACTCACCGGCGTTATAGGAGTGCGACCTTCATCGCGTGATGAATACATGTTATTGCATTGTTTTTTAGGAGCTCGAAGGAGGATAGCGGAAAGTAGCAAATAGAGAAACAAATGTAGATGGTTCGGGCGAGGAAGAATATTATCCATATTTAGATGAGATTTTATATAATTTATAAATATATGAACAATATAATGACTTCTTCATATATCCGGGCAAAAGCGGACTAAAATGAATGAACCATTAACCTTCAACCCACTTAATCGACCGGGCCAACGGGCTAAACAGGGCCGACAACCTTCGATCTTTAAAATCCATATATTCTAAAATATTTGGTGTTCCAATTTTTATGATTGAGTCAAATCGATCAATAATTGTGGATTTTCAGAGAGTGGTTGAAATTCAAACTTCGGTCTTCAAGTTTCTTTCGTGACAGACAAGTTTTTGCATTTAATTATTGTTGGGTCGAAGGAAGAGAAAGCGGTCTAGATGGAGAATATGACTGTAGCTATTAATTATTAGGAGTTGTAGATGGAGAAGATAAACCATAAAAGGGGCTAAATTTAATTTGATAATGCTTATATACTATATATTACAAGGACATGTTTGATTTGAAAAATAATAGAGGGATAGATTTGAGAAAAATGGATAATAGAGTGACAATTTATACTATTAACTCCACATGGAAAGTCAAAGAGAATATTGGTAGAGTAAAATTTAAGCTTTTATAATGCTTGGATTCTCTTAACTTTGGTATGTGCATTAGTATCTAACACTTAACAACCCCACTTATTATTCAAACAAGCATATACACTAAATTATAATAATTTATACAATAAGCATTATTTTTTCGCATTCTTCCATATTTGAGATTTTTTAGGCTTAATCTTTTCTTTATTCTCTTGATTTTTTTATATACCTTCAATTTCTACCAATTCTAGATTACATATATTTCCTTCCAACTCAAAATTTATATCCGATAATAAAAAGTCCACAAATTTCTTCTAAGATATAGGGGAAACAATACAAAACAGTAAACTAGGACGACTTGATAAAAAAATACATATTAACTAATTATTGCTAATGTTATAATCAACAAGTACCATAAAGATTACTTTAAAATTATGAATTAGCTATTTTAGAAAACCTCAAATTATTTTAAAACATGAAAAAAATTATCAACATAAAATAAAATTCATCCAACCAACGGGTCAGGTAAATATTTTAAATATAATTATAAATTAACCAATATAAAAGATAAAATAAAACTCATTCGGTGAAGGACCGAGTAAAATCTAGCTTGATCATATTTATATAACTTAATTTCAGTATTTATCAAGGTTTAAGAAGGTGTTAGGCACAAAGCGGCGTTGGGGCCTTCCTTAGCACTTAGCTCGCCTAAGTGTGTCTAGGTGCTCGAAGCAAAATTATATGATAGCTATGAAAATGATGTGAAAATTATAAATTTTTAAAATTTTGATTGCCACATCACTCATTTAACGGTCAACTATCAAAGTTGACTGCCACATCAGCTAAACTTAACGGAGACTAACAGAGAGTGACCAAACTTGAACATAAAAACTACTTTTAGTGACCATGAATAGAATAAAATACTTTTAGTGACCAAACGTGAACTTTTTAATACTTCCAGTGACCAACCTTGCAATTTACCCAATAAATGAAATAACAATTTACAACACTTAATGTAGTATATGTAATTAATTACTTACCACACATACCAACAAGAAAATTAGCTCAAAAGTTGATAGAATAATAGCTCAACATCTCACAAAGTTCTTGGCCTATTGAAAAGATTGATGTAGAAGATCGAGTTTGTAAATGATATCAATTCTCACCTTTGATATTGACTACCTAGCTTCATCTACTTATGCATAGGTGACATCTAGATGTCGTCTTACTCTTTAAACGTATTACTGATACCTAACTAGTTGTGAAACTCATAGGCGACACGTTTTGACGTTGTCCAGGGCCTAGGCGTGCCTAATTAAGCATAAGTTTAAGTGCATTTTTTTAATAATGGTATTATCATAATTTGATTTGAATATTGACACGAAATATTCGATGTATGTTATGCGAGTATTGAAACAAGGTGAATATATTCACCTTTATATAGGTTGAAAAACTTGCATGTAAAAAAATATTGATATTGTATCACCCATATCCTAGTCAGGAAAATCCAATCAAATAAATCAAACACCTTTGTTGTACTTGTGCATCTTGTGCATTGAAATTCAGCAAAGACGAGGCATCTCTAATCATGGAATTACCACCTTCTCTTTATTGTAAAAAACCAATCCTTGTTTCTTTTATATATTAAATTCAGTGCCCGCCTTTGCTTTGACACGTCAATCATTAAAAGAAAAACATGTTCACACACAAGAATCGGGGAATGTCACTCGATGGTTGTAATTAAGCTAAAAGTTTCCATCTTGGGAATTTCCGTTGCATACAAAACGACACACGCAAAACATCCCAAAGCCCATAGTTTACGGCATCTTATAAATAATATAGATAGCTGAAACCGAAATGGATCCTACGACTTTCTATGCTTAACTAGTTACCAACAGACAGGACAGCATCTGCCGTTCCAGCTGAATCTTGGAGACATAAAAGGATACGTTAGTCCTGGTTTGCTGTAGTGTATTTGGATTTTAAAGTATCGGTGTTATTTGTGCGCAATAAAATGTAATAAGTATAGTAATTTTGGTTAATAGTTAATACAATCTCAAATATATTGTGAGAATGAGATATTCGTCAAATGCGTCTTTCGATTTACGATTAAATAAGTGATAACCACATATCTATCATAAAAAAGGTTAATGGTCTAATTATCACTCGTTCAACAATAAAAGATAAATTTGACACAAATACATTAATCGAACAATATTTTGAAATATGAATAATATATATTACCTCCAAAGTATATACATGTATGTCATAGCAAGACAAACAACGTGTTGCTATAACTTGAAGATAAATTATTTGTTGTCGACTGAAAGTCATGAGGTTTCGTTGTATGGGTTATACACATTTATGTTACTGCTTTGACCCGGTCTCTAACATTTTTTTCCCCATAAGTTGGATTGGGGTAGTTCATTTGAAGAAGATGCTATATATATTTTTTTTAATCTTACAATATGTATATTTTCAATTATAATGAAACTCGTCTCTCCTACCCATAGATTAAATTGTCAAACACAAGGCCTATTAAATCAAAATAGAATTGGTTGGTTCAATACAGATATATTGCTTGATTCAAGTGCAAAACGTTAAATTGTAGAAGTAAAAAAAAAAAACATTTAAACCCCCCCTTTTACAAAAATAGCGTTCCCAAATACTTTCCATCTCTCCTAACACTTGGACCATATCAGCAATTTAACTTATACGCAATTAAGAATTTCACTCTACATGATTACAACCAACTAATAAACAACTAAAGGAAAGAAGTTCATCATGCTTTAGAAGAAGTCAAAAGATCAAGTTTGGCCAACTATAAATCAATTCTCGACACATACATCGCAACAATTTGAGAAACCATCACGTCACATCAAAATCCTTGCAACTTTCCATTTGTGCAAACCAACACCATCATGAGCTCCGTACGGAACGACAACTGGCCGCCGTTGTCGCCGTCGGCCAGCGAGGACAGCCACTTCCTCGCACTCTCGCCGTTGGATCTCGACAGGTTCGACAACCAATGGTTCCAGATGTTCTCCCCTTCATGGCAGCAGCTCGAACCGGCCGAGGAAATCGACCAGCCCGACCAAACCCTAGCCGAACCGGCCGTACAAGCGGGCCCCACCGATCCTCCTCCTCCTCCTCTTCCCGAGCCAGCCGATCCTCAACCTCCACGCTCCTCCTTGGAGCTCCTCCAGAAGTATGGCGGCGGCGGCGGGGGCGTCAGCGGGAATCGGCCGTCTTCTTCGTCCACGTGTTCCACTCCTCCGCCGCAGCGGCGGCCGTTGGCGGTGGAGGAAGCGCTGAGGATCGCCGGGAGGAGGATCGTGGAGTTCTCTTCCGGAAAAGCAGGAGCGCCGTCGATGCTCAACATCCCTTTCGATCCTTCGTTGTCGGACCTCTGCGAGGATGACGTCAGGAGCGTGGAGCTGGCGGAGTACCTGCTGGCGGCCGCGGAGCGGATCGGGGACAAGCAGTTCGACCACGCCGCCGCTTTGCTGAATTTGTGCGAGTCGTTGGCTTCGAAGACTGGGAACGCCGTTCAGAGGTTGGGATACTGCTTCTGCAAAGCCCTAAGAAAGAAGATTGCCCACGACACGGGTAAGACAATACCAGAGTCTGTGAAATCGTATCGTATCGATCGATCAATTTTTCTTTTTATCGGCGTCTAAATCGAAAGAATATTTTCAGCAGTATGAAATGGTTGAACCACGATTAAATACGTTCTCAGTGATAGTGAAACATTGTAATTAAAACTGTATCATCTTATTGAATTCTGAATCGATAAACGGTTTTTAGGGGTTAATCTTTGAACTATGGTTAAACACGATCTCAGCCATGCATTGTAAAACCATAATCAGATTCAGAGGTTGTATCGGAAAAGTCAGTTATAGGATATTCTATACTGAAATTGTGGATGAATTGTGGTTCAACCATTTCATACCGTTAAAAATTGCATATATGTTTAGTGGATAATATGAGATTTTCTCGATAGGACCATTAATATGATACATTTTTATAAACATTAATATTATCACAAAAAGAAATACCCTATCACTAACTTTTTTCTTATAAAAGCTCTAGGACGATCATCGATCAATATACAGAATCAATCCATTCATTAAGTGACCGGTTCGAATTAGGTTCCCTTTTATAATACTGTGTAACATTTTTTTCCCCCCACTAATCCAACCCCTTTAACTAATTATCACTAATGAATTTTTCTTCTTCCACGAATTAGTTCATTATCACTAATCCAACCCCTTTAACTATACCAATATTTACCATGTTGAATCTGATCCATCCGCCATTTTCACGCTTAAATATGCTAACGAACTACAGTTCTACGTACAGGTAACAAACCACCTCAAGAAAAGAAGACATCGGTCCGAAACGCGAATGAATCAAAGGTGCTGACATCGGATTTCATAGTAAAAGCAATGCAATGTGGGGCCATCCCGATGTTCCAGGTGCCACATATAGTTGGCGTCCAAGCCATAATAGAAAACGTGGCAAAAGCTAACAAGATCCACGTCATCGATCTCAAAATCGGGAACGGCCACCAATGGGTTGCCCTAATGCAAGGTTTGACGTCACTGTCTGACCGAGAACCGGTCGATCTCCTTCGGGTAACCGCCGTAACAACCACCAATTCCGACCAGTCTTCCATCGAAGACACGGGAAGTCAGCTCACGAGTTTCGCTCATACCATAAAAGTACCGTTTCAGTTCAACGTCGTAGTTATCGAGGACGAGGATGCGGCTTCTGATTTTCGGGCGGACCGGTTCGACCTAAACCCGACCGAAGAAGCGTTGGTCGTGTACTCGGAGCGCGTGCTGCGAACCCTGATCGTGGATTCGCGTCGGATCGAACGGATGATGAGGGTGATCAAGCAGATGAACCCTCGAGTCATGGTGACCGTCGAGGTGGAGGCGAATCTCAACTCTCCGAATTTCACGAAGCGTTTCGTGGAGACCATTTTTTTCTACGGTGCGACTTTTGAGAACCTCGAGAGCTGCATGGCACGAGACGACCCGAACCGGTTGTGGATCGAGACCGGGTTGTTTGGAAGCCAGGTTGGCAACATACTGGCTAGCGAGGGCGAGGACAGGTACGTGAGGAGCGTGAACCTCGAGGTGTGGAGGAAGTTCTTTTCCCGGTTCGGGATGGTTGAGGTCGAACCGAGCTTGACGGCTTCCCACCAGGCCAAGTGGTTCCTCAACAAGTTTGCCACTGGAAGGTCGTATACGATTGAGTCGAATGAGAGGAGCTTAGTTCTAGGGTTCAAAGGTACACCGATGCTTAGCGTGTCTACTTGGAAGTTTATTCAGTTTGCTCGGCTTATAAGTGACAATCATGAGCTGAGAGTAGAGTTCTACTAGCTAACTCTTTTGCGCAAAAATGAAAAATAAGATGGAGTGAATAAAAGATAAATAAAGTCCTGTTTTTTATGGCCCAACATCTCTGGATATTTCTCTCAAATAAAGTTCTCTTTTTCATGGTGAGTTGTTTCTCTAGACAATTCTCTCCTTAGAGCCAATTAACACAGTTTGTAGGGTTGGAATTGTTTTAGAAACCCTCAACCTCAACACTGTGTTCAACTTGTTCCTTTTGATTGTAAACAACAACAAAGCACAGTTTCAGGACACTTTTCAAAGAGGGATTGATGTGGTTCAAATAAGAGTTTTTATTCTACATGGTTAACCCGCCAAAACCCAAACACATAGTTTTACATAAGTAAATAAAACGAGAAACTGCTAGGTAGAAAGATTGTGTTGTTGTGACTTGAATCGGACTATCTAACTACGACTGGATCGTGTTCGTTTTTGTTTTCATTATTTCTTGCTTTGTCGATTCCTCCAATTCCTCAATCCGCATAGAAACATTCATGACAGATTGTCTATCTCTCTTGATATGGAACGTATCTCTCATCTCTAAATCCTTCTTTATATGGATTATTCTTTGTATGTCGTTAGCCTCCTTCAAGTATGTGGATTACATTTGAATTGACAAAGTTGTAGGAATTGCAAAAGTCACATCAGGTCTTGTAATGGTAATGCAATATACACTCTCCCCAGTAATCTCGTATACATTTTAAGAGTCTTCCAAATGTACGTGTTCCTTAGTTTGTAGTCAACTTGACCTTTGGATCATTGGGAGACTTAGCTTGCACTCTTTTATTTCTAGTTTACTTGTGTCCTCCAAGAGTTTCAACCGATACTACCTTTGTCACCCTGACATTCTTTATGTTGTTCATATTAGAGTATTGGTAGTACGAGTAGTATTATGTTATACTACGAGTACTGTTATGTAATTGAGCAGTGTTATATTCCTTATCAAAGTCGTATTAATGTTAGGAAATCGGAATATGGTGGAAACGGTTGTGTATTATTACTGAAACAACATGGGTTTATATAGAGTACAGAGACTGACTTCTATAATAACCCTAACACTAATAGGGAAATTACCTAACTTCTACGACTCTAATAAGTGTTAGGAAATCGGAATATGGTGGAAACGGTTGTGTATTATTACTGAAACAACATGGGTTTATATAGAGTACAGAGACTGACTTCTATAATAACCCTAACACTAATAGGGAAATGCTTCGTCGGCAGGCCGCGTCACGTCCAAGCCTCAAGGCGCCGCCTTTGCTGTTTCGGACATTCCTCATGCGCAGCCTGAGGCCTCCTCTGGTGGCAACAGTTTGTCCTTTTCTTCTGAATTTGTTAAGAAACTTGTTCAGGAGGCATTGCAAGAGGCCCTGCCGCAAGCTTTGACATCAGCATTTGCTACTGGTGCTCTCTCCGGTAAGTCAGCTAAATGGTTGTTAGATTCTGGTGCCTTTAATCACATGACTCATGTTCGTCATACGTTTGATAAGCTTGAACCAGTGCAAACTTTCCACCTGCGGGTAGCTAATGGGGATCAGATTCCTGTAGTTGGTCGGGGTACTTCGTCTACGGGCTCCGTTACTCTACCAAATACATTATATGTTCCTAGTTTGGAAAGATCTTTTGTTATCACCAGCTTATCACCATTGACATTTCATGAGGCATTGGACATGGTCTTCATCGACATCGGTATATTTGGCGGAGCAGCTATGTTTTTCGCAAATTTTTTTTCACATTGTTCGTAGTCATTTGTGTCGGTTTTCAAATTGTTGGTAAGTAATTACCATCAATTTGGGGGAGGGTATTAGAGTATTGGTAGTACGAGTAGTATTATGTTATACTACGAGTACTGTTATGTAATTGAGCAGTGTTATATTCCTTATTAGAGTCGTAGAAGTTAGGTAATTTCCCTATTAGTGTTAGGGTTATTATAGAAGTCAGTCTCTGTACTCTATATAAACCCATGTTGTTTCAGTAATAATACACAACCGTTTCCACCATATTCCGATTTCCTAACAGTTCACTTTATCTTTAACCCACGGAATACTTTTGTGTCTCTAACTGTTTTAATTAACCTGAATTCTGTGCTTAAAGACAATTCAATATTCTCAATATCCTTAAGGCCTCTCCTCCTATTATGATTTCATGAACATACACACTAGCAAAACCATAATATTGACATGTACACATTCGATAAAAAAAAGTAGTGCGAGGAAGATCGAGAGAAACCTTACCCGAGATGGAAGTTTATGAGCTTTGCAAACCATTCTCCAGAAGCTTTTTAAAACCATAGAGTGACTTCTTAACTTTGCAGGCCATATGTCTAGAGCTTGTCTCGGGCACATCAAGATCTGCGAAGTATCTTCATATAAATCTCTATGGAGAAAAGTATTTGAGACATCAAGTTGCTCAAGCGTTCAATTCTTCATTGTGGCTATAGTCAATACGACTTTCATGATTTTATCTTGGTTACTGGTGTGAAGGTATATCTAGAAAATCTATGTGATGTACCTGTATTCCTTTGTCACTAGCTAGCTAGTCTTGCCTTGCATATCTCAACTTATACATCTGACTTCAGTTTGATTTTGTATATCCATTTATTTCTAGCTGTTCTCTGACTTGGTGGAACATGCACAATATCACAAGTTTGATTTCCAATCAATACCGAGAAAATGATTGACAGATTCTCTTCTTAATAAAAATGCAGAGAAAATGATTGACAGATTCTATTTTTCAATAACTCATACACCATCTATATGGTAATTGCCAACCTCATTGTTGCAGGCAATCAAGTGTAAAATGTTTCCCTTGGAAGACAAGCCAAAGATAAGCAAAAATCTTGCTTGGTATATTGTTGTAACCCATATATGCTCGAGAAAGGACATTTGACTCATTGTGCTAAGACCCGAGATGGCTGTGATCTCTGGACCCTAGCATTCAATAATAAGAGAAGGTTGATGATCAAAACACTTGTGGGTTCTATCTCATTCTATATTCTAATCCTAGTCAGCAATATCAAATAATTAAGAGATTGTTTGGTATTTGCTATTATTATAATTGATGTACTCAATGAATGCTTGCATTGTTTGAATATAATGTGTGCATCAAGATTTCGATGTTTGATAGTTGTAATTGTAATTTTAGGAATAAAATGAACAATTCATTTTTTGAATGAAAGTCATGTTTATACTTTCTTTTAGATATAAAAGTCAACCCTGTATAAAATCTGATAGAGGCATGCATAAAGGGAAAGGAAAAATAGATAAACTTGTCAACAATCTCCCCACATAATTGAAATTCTCAAATTCTAGATCATTCATTCCAAATCATTTCAGTTGTCACATAAACAATAAAATGATTGCATTGCGTCTCATTTTGGAACCCAAAAACAAAACATTATATACTATACACAAATTCAACTCTCAAAATCATGTACAAAATATAACAGTTGATAAGATTTTAATCCTTTCCTATTTAAATCCTCAAATCGTAAATTTTTAGCTCCACTTATTTTAAATGTCTGACTCTATCACTAACAACATATACATTCATTAAATATATGATCTAAAATAGGCATATACCAAATCGCTCCAAATAAATCGAACACCTGTGTTGTGCTGGTACTTCTTGTGCATCGAAAAATGCAAGACGAGGGATCTCTGCCATCATGGGATTTGGGTTCTCTCTCACAATAATATTAAATTCAGTGCCCACCATTGCTCAACACATCAATCGTTAAAAAAATACGCATTGAAACTGGGAATGTCAATCCATCGTTGTAATTAAGCTCAACTTTCCGTCTTGGGAGTGTCCGTTGCGTACAAAACGACACGAGCAAGACATCCCAAAGGCCATCGTTTATGGCATCAGATCATAATATTTAAGCTGAAACCGCAATGGATCCATACTGACTTTCGTAGCATAAGCTTCCATCAGATGCGACAGCATCTGCCGTTCCCGCTGAATCTTGGAGACATCAGGAAGCGGTCAGCTGGTAGAGTACTCTAGCGTATTTATTTGCAATAGTATGTATTTCTAAGGCTATCTATTTTGGTTGATGCAATTTCATGTGGGTACTTGGTCATTCAAGTGATTTGTTTGTTGGATGTATTTCATTATATTTCAGCAAATCAGTACCTATAGCGTCATAATTACAAATGCTTTCTATGTTGTCAGGTATTCAATATCATATTAACAATATGAATTAGGGTCAGGAGGCTATACTCTAGAGTATACTATGCTTTAGGTACTCCAGATGAGATATTTCTATTCAGATCATGAATGAAATCAAGTTTAGGATAATGATACTATATTCTAATTTCTATAAATAAATCTCAAGGCTCTGTTTCTCTAAACACAAACCCGAAGATCTTTTTAATAAATTATTATTATTATAATGTACGATTGTGATTTTTTGAAGAACAACAAAATACATCTAACGACATCAGATCATATATAGTATGGTATACTCCATGAATACACTAGTTGTTATAGAAACTATATATTTAATTTTAATCAATTACACACAAATACAAATTTCACATTCTTGATTTCAACATGCACCCAACCAAGACAAAAACCATCACAAAAAGTCAAAATCCCTTTCATCATTATAAAACCATTAATCGAGAGAAATCTCAACAATTTGTCAACCATCACATCTATAACTTAATAATAACCCCCATCAAGCTTCTTGTAACCTTCCCCATTGTGCAAACCAAAACATCCACATACGATCATGAGCTCCTTAAGGAACGACAGCTGGCCGCCGTTGTCGGCCAACGCAGCTGCTGGCAGCCACTCCCTCCCGCTCTCGCCGTTGGATCTCGACAAGTTCGACGACCAATGGCTCCAGATGTTCTCCCCTTCCTGCCAGCTGGCGCCGGACGAGGAGCTCGACCAAACCCTAGACGAAGAAGTGCTGTTGGAACAAGAAGTGGGCCCCACCACCACCGGTCCTCCTCCTCCCCCCAAGCCAGCAGCCGATCAACCTCACCGCCGCTCCACGTTGGATCTCCTCCAGAAATACGGCGGCGGCGGAGGGAGCCGGTCGTCTTCTTCTTCCACGTGTCCCACTCCTCCGCCGCAGCGGCGGGCGCTGGCGGCCGAGGAAGCGCTGAGGATTGCCGGGAAGAGGATCGTGCAGTACTCCTCCGGAAAAGCCGGAGCGCCGTCGATGCTCAACATCCCGTTCGACCCTTCGCTGTCGCACCTGTCGAAGGATGACGTCAGGAGCGTCGAGCTGGCGGAGTACCTGCTGGCGGCGGCCGAGCGGGTCGGGGACAGGCAGTTCGACCACGCCGCCGCTTTGCTGAATTTGTGCGAGTCGTTGGCTTCGAAGACTGGGAACGCCGTTCAGAGATTGGGATACTGCTTCTGTCAAGCCCTGAGGGAGAAGATTGCTTGCGACACTGGTGAGTCAACCAATCAACCTTCTTGTTGATCGGTCAACCGATTGTTTTACTCAACTAAACCTTTTTAAACCCGGAACGGTTAGCTCTGGAGATATTCAATTATGTATCCTACACTTGAAGTTCGCACATATTCGAATACTGAACATTAGAGATCGTAGAAAGCCGAACATAAGATCTCTCAATATTACCAAAACTACTTGAGCTTCGTATAAAGTACAATGATAGACTTCCGCAATAACCCGGAACACGAATTTCGAAATCATGTTGTTATCAAATCTGGTATCGATTAGAAGTCACGTTAGTTGTTTACGTATCATACGCATAATTCTATGAGAGCTCAAGTCACAGGTGAATCCGAACAATCTAATATACCTAATTCATAATTAACATATTATGAGTTGAGTTTAATATAAACGAAAAACTCAAAATTTTAGTGGCATTAGTTGCTACCAGTTGCCATCATATGTGTTGAAAGAATACTTACTGCAATGGACAGTGTGAAGAGACACTTTAGAAGATGAGTGATGAAATCATGAATGATTTTTTGCGGTAAGGTATCTTGAGATGAATATCGCTCATAATTTGCTTGATGAATGTATTTTTTTAAAATAAAATTCTCAAGCTGGAGCTACCTTAGCTTAAATGAATTCATGGGGGCTATGTGGAGGATCATCACGTTGACGGTTCTATAAATCTTGCATGACATTAGAGAGTAACATAGTTTTCAGTTTTCTTTAGCTGTAGCTACGTACCATTGTGGGTTTTGAGAACCATAACATAAATGAAACTAAGAGAAACGAATCACGTAAGAATTTGTTGCATGCATGTGTTATAGCTTAAATATGCTAATGAACATTCTTTGTACGACAGGTAAAAAACCTCCTCAAGACAAGAAGAGATCGGTTCCTGACTACCACGAGTCACTGCTGACGTCGGATTTTGCAGTGAAAGCAATGCAACGTGGAGCCATGCCGATGTTCCAGGTGCCACATATGGTCGGCATCCAAGCCATAATCGAAAACGTGACCAAGGCAAACAAGATCCACGTCATCGATCTCAAAATCGGAAACGGCCACCAATGGGTTGCCCTAATGCAAGGTCTGATGTCGCTTTCGGACCGAGAACCGGTCGAGCTCCTTCGAGTAACCGCCGTGGCAACCATAACTTCCAACCAATCCTCCATCAAGGACACGGGGAACCGGTTGGCCAGCTTTGCCGAGAGCATTGAAATGCCGTTTCAGTTCAACATTGTGGTCATCATAGACGAGGACGAGGCGTCCGATTTTCGACCGGACCGGTTCGACCTGGACCCGGTCGAGGAGGCCCTGGTGGTTTACTCGGAGCGGGTGCTGCAAACCCTAATCGGTCAGCCACTTCGGATCGAGCGAATGATGCGGGCGATCAAGCAGATGAACCCACGAGTCATGGTGACCGTCGAGGTGGAAGCGAACCTCAACTCCTCGAGCTTCACGGGGCGTTTCGTGGAGGCCATCTTTCACTACGGCGCGATTTTCGAGAACCTGGAGAGCAGCATGGCTCGAGACAACCCGAACCGGTTGTGGGTCGAGACCGGGTTGCTCGGCCACCAGGTTGGCAACATACTGGCTAGTGAAGGAGTGGATAGGTACGTGAGGAGCGTCAATCTTAACGTGTGGAGGAAGTTCTTTGCCCGGTTCGGCATGGTCGAACTCGAACCGAGCTTGACCGCTTCGCACCAGGCCAGGTGGTTCCTCGACCGGTTCACGGCCGGGACGCCGTACACGATTGAGTCGAATGAGAAGAGCTTGATTCTAGGATTCGAAGGTACGCCTATGCTTAGTGTGTCTACTTGGAAGTTTATTCAATTTGCTAGACTGATAAGTGACAATCAAGAGCTGAGGGTGGAATTCTACTAACTCTTGGCCCAAAAGGGAAAAAATAATATGGTCTGAATACTAAATAAAGCCTTATTTTATGGCCCAATATATCTGAATAGTTCTCTCCTTTGAGCCCACTAAATCACCACTATTATCATTTTATTTCATGACCAATGTCAAATAGAAGCTTTTCTGCTATATTGGGCCCCAATAACTTGGCTGTACAACCATATTCAGAAAATTAGTACTCATGAGCATAGCCACATTTGTAAGTGTGATGAGACTACTCAATATTGTTGTTGGTGATGATATTTTTATTTGAATCAGAAAAAGAGCAAATTATTATTATGAGATCGTGTCCATGATGCTTCTTTAGTTGTATGATCAGTCACATTATCATTTTTCATTTATAGATGTTAACAAGTGATTCCTAAATTTGACATAAAACATTTGTAAGATTTGGGAATAAGTTTTAAAATTTTACAATATCTTTTTCGATTGTTTACCCAGCAACACTAGTCCATTGTAGGCACCTAAATGTGCGCCCAAATGTGAGCAAGAATCACCCTCGGAAATACCTTTCCTTTTACATAAATAGAAATTATTCTTACAATCAATTAGAGCAAAGAAAGGACGAGATTTTTTTTTTTTTTTTTTTGTGGTCATGCACAGCCTATTATGACCAATGCAGTCAAAATCGCGCTTTAAAACTTAAAAACTTACGATTTTACGCTTTTGGGTCACCAAAATGCTTTCGTTTCCATACAAAAACTAAAGTGTATAAAATCGGACTAAATTGCGCTTTAAAGCTTAAAAACTTAAGGTTTTACGGTTCTAGTTCACCAAAACGCTTTACGTTTTTACGATTTTAGTTCACTAAATGAGTATTCTTTTCATGAAATTAATTATAAAAAGTAGTATTTTGAAAGTAAATCACTAACAATATGATGCATTTGAGATTAAAAGATACATACCAGGTACTTGGATGCATTCTCAACTTCAATAGAGTAGTCTAATTCACCAGCTAGGCTTTTCCCAAATTCATTAGCATAGAGGGAAAAGTGGCTTATCGATAAAATTTATGTTTACGAACTTATTATTAAGATGCTATAAGTTGCTCTACTTTAAGCATGAATTGCATGTATTTATTAACTTATCTAAATTCTGTGCATTCATATTTTGCATAGCATATGTTCTACTTAATAGATTTTTAGTTATTTTCAGTATGCGTCAAAAACTTACGCTTTTACGCTTTGATTCTACGCTTTACGATTTTACCCCTTCTCCGCTTCTAGATAGAATCGCGTTTTTGACTGCATTGATTATGACCACATCATTTCTCCCCTAATAAAATTTTATATACTTTTTATTAGTGGACTAGTAGTTGAGGACAATCCACCACTTTATTATAAATAAATACGACCAAAATGATAGAATTTGACCAAAGCGAGGCTCCCAATGAAAAACAGATCGCCATAATTTTTTTAAAAAAAAAACATTATGCCCATAACGGCTCTGCCTTGCTATTGTCTCCACGATGTTGCATTTGGCTCGTACCCTATCGCCTCAATTCGGCAGCGAATAATTCCTCTTCTCATAACAAGTTAACAACGCTCCACGTGAAATCAGTCAACGAGTCTCCCCTGACTCATATATAAACCACACAAATAAGGAAACCTCCCAACTACCAATAATCCTCCACTTTGACCTTTACTTCCCCACTTGATCTCCTCCTCCATCGGACCCTCCTATGGCGCAGAACAAACCATGGCACGAGAACTTCGCCGACGTCGACGATGATGATGACGACGTCGACCTCCATCACCTCCACCAAACCTCGGGATTCATGGGCAAGACCGTTGCCAACCAACAACAAGCTCTGCCGCTCACTTCCGCCACGTTCCAGCTCCTCAACCACCGAGCGGTCAACAACAACGAGGAACAACCACCCTCCGCGTCGATCGACAGCTTCGCGAAAGTCGCGAAGCTGTCGATCGAGGAGACGATCAGGCTGGCCGCCACGAGGATCGTGGGGTGCTCGGACTCGGACCGAGTCGGGATCCCATCCCTGCTCAACGTCCCGTTCGACCCGTCCATTACGGGCCTGTCGATCGAGGACCAGAGGAACGTCGAGCTGGTCGAGTACCTCCTGTCCTCGGCCGACAGGGTGGGCAGTCGCCAGTACGACGAGGGGATCGCTCTCGTCGAACTGTGCGACTGCCTGTCTTCCCCCAACGGGAACGCGGTCCAGAGGGTGGTCCACTACTTTGCGAAGGCTTTACATGACAGGATCGAGAAGGAAACAGGACGAAATAATTACCACCAGTCGTTTCGCATAGACTTGGGGGACGTGTTGAGGGTCCCGAGTCCTTCCATCCTCCTCTCGGCCCACGAGCGGTTCCCCAGCTACCAGATGCAACAGCTGGCATCCGTACAGGCCATGACGGAGTCCGTGGCGTCCGCCAGGAGGATCCACGTCATCGATCTCAAGATCAAGTCCGGACTCCACTGGATCGGGCTGATGCAGGCCCTGGAATCTCGACCTGCTGGACCGCAGGTCGAGATCCTGAAGGTGACCGCCCTGTGCACCGGACCGGTCGAACCGGTCCGGTCCACGGGCGGGCGGCTGGCCGACTTCGCGCGATCGAAGGGCCTGAACTTCTCCTTCGCGATCGTCCACGTGGACGACGTGACGGACCTGAAGGAGGAGATGTTCGCGGTGGATCGGGGGAAGGAGGCGGTGCTGGTGTACTCGGAGCACGCGTTCGTGACCGAGATCGGTCGGCCCGACCGGATGGAGGCCCTGATGCGGGTCATGAGAGGGTTGAACCCGCAGCTCATGGTCGTGACCGAGACCGAGGCCAACAACAACTCCCCGCATTTCTCGGCGAGATTCGTGGACGCGCTGTTCCACTACGGCGCCGTTTTCGACAGCGTGGACGCGTGCATGGGAAAGGACGACGAGGAAGGGCGGGCGTTCATGGAGGGCGTGATGATGGGGAGGATGATAAGTAACGTGGTGGCGCGTGAGGGGGAGGAGCGCGTGGTGCGGGGCGTGAAGCTGGACGTGTGGCGGGCGTTTTTCCGGCGGTTTGAGATGGTGGAGCGGCGGCTGAGCTCGGTGGCGTGGCAGCAGGTGAGGCTGGTGCGTGAAACGGCGCCGAACGGGGAGTTTTGCACGGTGGAGAGGGACGGGAAGGCGATGGTGATTGGGTGGAAGGGGACGCCGTTGGTTTCGATCTCGACGTGGAAGTTTTTCCGGTCGGCGAGGCTCGTGAGCGGGACCAAACACTTGAGGATCGAGTTTGAGTAGGATAGGATAGAAAAGACCATGTTGCAGTTTGAATCATGAAATCAAATGAACGGATACTATAACTATATATCTAACTGTTTTGACTCTTGATAATAAACTCTTTCTAGGGTTTTGGGTGGTCTTGTTGCCTTGTTGGTTTTGGGATGTTGTGTTTGGGATGGAGTTTGGTGACATTTTCTCTCTGGAAAAATTGAAATGGTTTAATTATTATTGAATGATTATAATCATCACAATTCGTTTATCTTTTCAATGAATGATTTTAAATATGTAAGGTCTTTCTCCGTTGACACTGTCCAAGCTAGGCGCTAACAACGTAGGGTTCCTTGTAAGTACTTGTTTGTTTGACTGTTTGTCATGTATATTATATCATCTCTATAGTTCAACTACATTGATTTAGCAAAAACAAAAGTCAGATGGTTAATCAGGTTCTAATTATATTGGTTCCAGCAGGCTAAACACCAGCCATGTGGCGAAGAAACAGCTGTTCTATGACATACCTCTATCTCCAGATGAAATAAGAAGCTAAAATGAGAAGGCTGAGACTAAAATGAGAATTCAGGTGTCGCAGCTGAGACTAAAATGAGAAGGCTGTTGGATTTACTATTTGCTAATTCGCGGGAAAAACACTGATCATTACGTCCTCAAATGAAAAATGCATTGGCTACATGACCAAGTCATCATATTAAAGATTGATATTTGTCAACTCTGTAGGGCCAAACTGATTTTCCTTAAGAGAAAGTGTGAATGTCATTTTCCCCTCCAAAATATTACATTTCTCATCTTTCAACATTACCCAAAAAAGTTCTTATGATTATTATCATTTAGGAGGAATTTTACTATGTTATATACCAGCTATAGGTTTTTGCCTTTATGGTACAACTTGAAGTTGTATCTTTAACATTATGGTACAACTTTAGATTGTACTTATAATAGTTTGTACAAATTCTTTTATAGTACAACTTGAACTTGTACCTGTTGATGCCAAGCTCCGAGGAGCCTGCTTCAATGTGTGTTGAGGTCCAGTGAGCGCCGGTCTTCTTTGGCCAACGTCCGCCGCCGCCAGCCTCCGAGATGGACACCTGCAAAACAAAAGGACCCGCCGGCCGGTGGTCGGCGGGGACCTTCTCCGAAGCTCAAGTCAGTATTTGAGAGGAGAGTAACCGGGAGCGGCGTTTTGAGCCGACTCTAGAGAGAGTTTTAGAAGTTCAAATAAAGAATGAACTCCACAAAATGAACTGCCGAGAAAGTATAAATGAGCGTCCTATTTATAGGTGCCTCCTGCTTCTGGCGTGGATGGCGTGTGAAGAATAAAATAACAATTAGACACTTACCTCGCCACCTGCAATGGATGGTTTGCTTCTGAAAATTCTTCCCTTGGCCACGTATCTCATGGGGAAAGCATAGCTAGAGTGGATGAATATTGCTTGACTTCTCCCACGTGTTCATGAATGTAAAAATGATTATGGTTGCTTGAGTTGGGTGGGGAAATACACACATGCATCCTTAATCCAACTCATAGGTCATTGCCATGTGTCATAGAAAAGATGGGTTGTATACATGTACCCTTAATCCATCTCATAGTGTTACGTGGCATTAGGGGGAATGAGTGGTCAAATGTATTTGGCTGGAGAGTAATGTATACTTTACCAACCCAGCAACAAAGATAATTAAAGGTCTAGATTTTTACATGGACATGCATAGCTAAAGCTTAGTGGTAAATTCCCATATCCTCCATTTCCACCCACGTGTAATGAAAATTGGTTGTTTGGCATAGGAAACTAGATGATTAATCATGTAATCATCTCATGTTCATGTGTCGAGAGGAAAAGTTGGGTGGCCTTATTTAAGCAAGAAACTAAATGTAATCCAGCAAACAATTCTCCCCTTACCAATAGAAAAATTAAGGTTGAATCAAAGTTTTCTATTGGTAACACATCACTAGGTGAGTGATTTAAATCATGGCATGCATAGCCGATACAAATTGCCCGAGCAATTGTTGGAGAGTCGTGCCAGTCATGGTTGATGGACCATATCATCATGTCAAGCGATCATGGAAAACCGTGTCAATTGTGACAGGCAGGCCGCACCAGTCGTAGTGGGCACCATGGTGAATCGTGACAATCATGGTAGGCGACCCAACCCAATCATGGCAAGCGACCAATGCCTATCTTTGCGGGTTTGTGCTATGTGTTTAGTGTTGTCCGTGTATGAGTGATAAGGACAACAGTTTGGGTTATGCAATATCATAGGAGAATTTTGATATCAAGTATAAATGAGAGTTTAGGAAGGGTTACCAGATAGTTTTTGAGTTACAAAAACTTTCTCATACTTGGATTTTTCTTGACTGGAGCATGAGAAGTGAAGAGGTTCCCCTGCTAGATTGGTGATGATGATGCAAAAGTTGTCCCGCCATGATTCGGAAGAGATGGGAGGCAGAGTGGTGTGGGTGAAAAAGTGGATATTTTTTCACAATAGCAATTCGCGGGGAATTGAACCCTTGACCTCCTTGATGGAGGTGTACCTGCTTAAAAAGTAGACCACATGGGCTTCCTCGGTAAAAACGTAGGTCTTACGAGAGGCGGACCTAAAACGGTGCCCCCACGGCCTCGTTGTGAATTCCACGACATCAGGTTTCTCCACCATCTCTCCTAGTGGGTTTGGCGTTGACAATGATAATTTGTAAAAAAATTCACCGGGCTCCATATCAAGCGCAAATTGTTGATGGAACTTTTCATCAAGGCCCTATAGCTGCCAATTGTTGATGTCAGGGCGCCATTCCATGAGAGGACTTGAGGATCTTATGATTTCGCGGCAAATCGACGGAGAAACTAGTGGGGTTGAGGGCCCGCAGTTCCACACCAAAGATCGACACAACTCAATCTTGGTCGAGAGATCCTCGATTCTTGGAGATAGATAGCAAATTGGTTGATGTTTGGAGTTGTATCTTGACGAATCCCTTCTTCGGGTTGCATATCCTCCATGCCCATCTTGTTGGGATTCTCGATTCTTGAAGATAGCAAGTTGATCGATGTTTGGAGTTGCATCTTGACGAATCTCATTTTCGGTTTGCATATCCTGCATGTCCATCTCATTGGGATCCTCGATTCTTGGAGATAGAACCTTGATTGATGTTTATAGTTGCATCTTGACGAATCCCAGCTTCGGGTTGCTGATTCTCTGTATCCACCTCGTCTTGCTGGATTGACGGTTTGTTGGTATTAATCTCACCGGGCCCCACGGTGGGCGCCAATTGTTGATGCCAAGCTCCGAGGAGCCTGCTTCAATGTGTGTTGAGGTCCGGTGAGCGCCGGTCTTCTTTGGCCAACGTCCGCCGCCGCCAGCCTCTGAGATGGACACCTGCAAACCAAAAGGACCCGCCGGCCGGTGGTCGGCGGGGACCTTCTCCGAAGCTCAAGTCAGTATTTGAGAGGAGAGTAACCGGGAGCGGCGTTTTGAGCCGGCTCTAGAGAGAGTTTTAGAAGTTCAAATAAAGAATGAACTCCACAAAATGAACTGCCGAGAAAGTATAAATGAGCGTCCTATTTATAAGTGCCTCCTGCTTCTGGCGTGGATGGCGTGTGAAGAATAAAATAACAATTAGACACTTACCTCGCCACCTGCAATGGATGGTTTGCTCCTGAAAATTCTTCCCTTGGCCACGTATCTCATGGGGAAAGCATAGCTAGAGTGGATGAATATTGCTTGACTTCTCCCACGTGTTCATGAATGTAAAAATGATTATGGTTGCTTGAGTTGGGTGGGGAAATACACACATGCATCCTTAATCTAACTCATAGGTCATTGCCATGTGTCATAGAAAAGATGGGTTGTATACATGTACCCTTAATCCATCTCATAGTGTTACATGGCATTAGGGGGAATGAGTGGTCAAATGTATTTGGCTGGAGAGTAATGTATACTTTACCAACCCAACAACAAAGATAATTAAAGGTCTAGATTTTTACATGGACATGCATAGCTAAAGCTTAGTGGTAAATTCCCATATCCTCCATTTCCACCCACGTGTAATGAAAATTGGTTGTTTGGCATAGGAAACTAGATGATTAATCATGTAATCATCTCATGTTCATGTGTCCAGAGGAAAAGTTGGGTGGCCTTATTTAAGCAAGAAACTAAATGTAATCCAGCAAACAGTACATTTATGTGATGGTACAACTTTAAGTTGTAAAGTTGTACCATAACATAAGGGTGCAAATTTCTGTATGGTACAACCTGAACTTATACATTTAACGTTATGATACAATTTCAAATTGTATATTAAAGCACCAATAATAGTATAGTAGAAGTGTCCATCATTTAGAGAGAAGATTGTCACAATATACGACTTACAGAAGAAAATAATGATTATACCGATCGAATTGATGTGTATTCTGCCAGAATAATGCAAAATCTACCAATCATTATTGATGCATTAATATATCTAGACTAAGCAAATATGCATATCATAAAGCTATAGTATAACCTCTTTAAATTAATAATCGATAAATTAATAATTTCTCAGGTTCTGACTTGGGATGGTGTAAAAAATGAGCAAATTTAATAAAATAATCATCTTTGAGAACCAATCTACATAAATACATGTATTTTTAACTATAAATTAATAATTGTAAAAATATAATTCATCTAGATATTTATAATATAGCTAGGATAATCTAGAAAAATATTAATATATAGTTGTTTGTTTATTCTTGGTCAAGCCACACCATCAAATCTTTTTGGGTGCATGATGGATGATCTCTCTTGTACTCACATAACTGTTTACGCATTTGATCGGTCATGGTGGACTTTTCGGACACCTTTCAAATGAGAAGCCATTGTTGAATATGATTTTTACAATGTTTCAATAGTACTATTTATAGTGATCGGGTCACCATATATTCCATGAATTATATTGAATGTATGATCAATGAATATAGGGGTGCAAGTAATTTAAAACATGAATCTAGACCATCTACGAGAATACATCGAATACATTTATCTTGGCAGAATACATAATTTTCTTCTATTAAATTTTAGTACAATGAATACGTCGAATGCGATAAATTATCATATGAACTTGAAATGTTTGGAAAATAAGATGAACGTACATCATAAGAAAAACCTCTTTAAATTAATCATTATTAATTTATTGATTAATTAATAACTACTATAAATTTTTACAGTCCCGACTACATTAATTTGTAGAGGTTATATTGTATATGTATCAGTGAGTGTCACTTCCTTTGTCGATTATATTTATGGAGTAGTTAAAAGTTTGTCCCGAGGCAATACCTATGGCTACATGGACAAAATCCACTATTTCGTTTCCCCACATATAGTTGGTTTGCAATGTGGCCAACACCTGCTAAGTTTTGTTTCACAGGATGAATGAAAAGGCCTATGCCCCTCTTGCTTGATGTGTTGTTTTTTTATTCTTAATTAACCCTCAATAAGAATCATCTATCTAAGAAAAACTGTGGTTTGCAACCACTCAGTAATAAAATTTCTCTTCAAATACTCCAAAACAATATGGATAACTACTAATTATTTCATTTCGATAACTGAAATTGTTTATAGAGAGCAAAACCTGAACTTCTGACCTTCCTACAATAACTTGAATTTCATTTAGAGGAGTATAACTTTATAAAATATGGACATCATTAAAATAAATCGAAATCGCTTTAAGACATTTTCTAGAAGAAGGGGAACCAACAAAGAAATAGGAATTTGTAGTTTCTGGTGGGGTGCCGGTTTTAAAATGCCACGGAATAGAGGTATTAAGTAACGTTTATACAGAGCTACTATCCTTATGTTTTAATATCATTTACGCTAAAAGATCATATATTACACAAGACTTACATAATATCGTTATAAAACTATTACTTAAATATACTCATGTTCATAAGTAACATTATACTTTGTGTAACTCAATCGACATATAAAGCCTGCTATACCTTGTCAAACATACATTTAAGTCAATATTATATTATAATAACTTAAATAGGTGTGTTTACACCTAATTAACAAGGTGATAGGTATATCCTAAATAACGAGAACAATATTGCGCGTCGTTTGGCGCCTCCCGAATCACGTTGAGTTTTGCCTATAGCTCACTAAAAAACAAATTGCTGGACTCGAAGCATCCAGGTAAAAGTCAGAAAATAAAGAAATTAAAGAAGAAGATTGATTCAGGGAAACAAATTTCCGGCTTGTAACGATGTGTTCTTGAACTTGATTCACATAATCACATGGACGATATGTTCAATAATTAATATTTATGTCAACGGGCCGGTTTTAACCCTTTTCTATAATGACGAACGCCAATTGACATGAACCACTTTTTCGTCACCACTTGATTGTAGATTGTGGGTTGTCGCTAATGACGGAATTTTCCTAGGCTTTTAATTCATTCACTTGACCTGTAGATCACCACTCGCTCTCATCGTGATTGCCAAAGCAGGAAGAAAAAAAAAACCCAAGAAAGCCAAAAGTCTTTGCCCTAAAATATTAGTTTTTTGGGGTTGAAAACTATACGAGTTGGTTATTTTAATTTCTTGACATTTTTACTTGTGCGTATATGTGCATAGACATTATCGCCTGGATTTATTCCAGGTGTGTGTCAGCTGTGGGAAAACTTGTATCAAGGTGCCTGGTGGATTGTTAGCTTCCTAGGCAATACATAATTAATTCTCTATTTTTAGGGTTTATTCATAATGGTGGGGGGAAACTACGAGATTTGTACAAACTGGTCATGTACTTGTTAGTTTTTTCCAAATTGGTCACTCAAACATTTCATAGAAACCAAAAACTAAGCACGTACTTGAGTTGAACCAACCCTTCAAACTCATAGAAAACTCATACCCAAGTACCCAACCCAATCACTAGTTACGTTGGATGTGGCTTCATTTTCGGGTTCGATATGGTTTGTTATGGGTTCGGTGTATTAGTTTGGTGCTTGTTTATGGCTAAAAATTACTTAATACCATGTTGTTTAAATTTAAGAATGTTGTGGTTTATAAGGCCAGATTAGCTATGAGAAGTAAATTGATATGGTACCTAGCTATCAAGCATGTCACTCAACTAGGTAGCCATCATATTCACTTCCCCTCAAGCCAGCAACAATACCCCAAGTCAAGCATGCCAAGTAGGGCACCATGACAAGTCGCCAAGCAAAACATCTCTATGACACACAAACTATAGATCAATTTCAATTATGAAGTCTTCATCAAGTCATTTTAGGTATCAAGTGGTCTACATGAAAGTGTTAGAAGTCAGGACATCAAGCAAGTTACATCAAGTACTACAGTGGTTGGAGGGGTGGTTATTGGGGCAGTTACACCTAATGTCTATAAATAGGAAAAACAAAGATAGAAGAATATATGATTCCCAAAACCAACATTTGAAGTCATGTGTCAAACTTTTGCCTTTCTCTACAAAGTAGTCATATGAGTGGTTTCTGAAATTCTTCTTGGACCTTCATAAGAGCATAATAAAGTAATTTAGTTTGTTCAAAAATCCATCAAAAATATAAAACACCCTCATTCAAACTTTGCTTGGAAAGATGTGGATCGTGTAATTATTCATTGTACAAAGAATTCATAAATACATCTATTAATATCAGCATAAGTTCTTTATCACTAGAAAACCGTGCTTAAATTTGGTGTATTTGATTAACTTGGGTCGGAGATGAATGTAGTGATCAATTTCCAAAGTTATGTTATCATTTTAGAGATAATAAAATCAATAGTGACCATTATTACAAACCCCAAAATTATATGACCATTTTGAATAATTATTCTTGTCTTCCACCTATAGCCATTTGGGATACCAGCAAACATAAAGAAACAAAGCATGAATACTTCAACTCCATAATAAATATTTTTTTCTATTGACCTTGGTAGAGCTTATTTATTAGAACTCCCTAGTCCCTACCTCCATTTCACAAACAACTTCAAAACAAAACATTCAAAGAGAAAGCTTAAACTAATTCCCCACATTGACTTTTCCCCTTCTCCCCTTCTTCAACACTCTAGTTATGGAGGAATTCTTCTTGGGTTCTCAGATGCAAACGTTGGATGATGGTCAATGGCTCCTCTCCCCGTTGACCTTTGATCAAATCGAAGATCTCGACGATGGTGATCAATGGCCACTGGTGGATGCAAGAAATGAGCCTCGTCTCCGGTCGTTATCCTCGTCCAATCCGTTGAACAAACGTAAAGGCAGTCCGACAATGTCATTTGATCAAATGGAAGATCTCGATGATGACGAAGATGATGAAGATCAATGGCCGCTAGTGGATGGGAGAAACGAACCTCGTCTTCGATCTTCATCGACTTTCAATCTGTTGAACAAACGGAAAGAAAGTCCGACGGTGTCATGCACGAGAGAACTGGATGATCCTCGTCCCAGATGCGAGTCGTTGTCCACTGAGGACATAATGCGACTCGCAGGGACGAGGATGATCCAGCTATCATCCAAAGTAAAGGACATCGCTTTCGATTCTTCTCTTTCCGGACTCTCGGATCGAGAAGTTCGAAACGTGGAGCTAGCAGAGTACCTCATGTCCGCAGCCGATAAGGTTCGAACCCGTCAGTTCGATCATGCCTCGGGCCTGCTAGGTCTGTGCAACAGTCTGGCCCCCAGCGATGGGAACACAGTCGAGCGAGTGGTCCATTGTTTCTCCAAAGCCCTCCGGACCAAGATAGCCAAAGAAACCGCGACAACCTACGACATGACGAGCAACAAGGAGTTCGTGATCGACGAGAATCAGCTGATTTCCGACAAGACATTCATGACGTTCCACCAGACCGTGCCCTTCCACCAGGTACAACACATAGCCGCCACGCAGGCGATTCTGGACAACGTGGAGAGGGCGACGAAGATCCACGTCGTGGATCTCCAGATTCGAAACGGGCTCGAGTGGATAACTCTCATGCAGGCTCTGGAATCACGCCAGGAATACCCCGTGGAGCATCTCAAAATAACCGCTCTGGTCATAGGGAGTGGCAGCGCGATTGAGTATACTAAACGTACGGGCGACCAGTTGAAGAGTTTCGCCGAGACGATCAACATCCCGTTGTTTTCTTTCCACGTGGTCCAGATCCCGGACCTGAAGGACTTTCGGGCCGGTCTCTTCGAGACCGACCCGGAGGAGGCCCTGGTGGTCTTCTCCGAGTTTTTCTTCAACAAGTTCACCAGTCGCCCGGTCGAGCTCGACCGGGCAATGAGGGAGATCAAGATCATGAACCCCAGGGTCATGGTCATGATCGAGACCGAGGCGAACCACAACTCCCCCTCCTTCTCCTCCCGATTCGTCGAGACGCTGTTCCACTACAGCGCCTTCTTCGACTGCCTCGAGGCGTGCATGTCGCCGGAGCACGAGCCGGACCGGAGGATCATGGAGACCGTGATCGTCACCGAGCTCGTGACGAACATGCTGGCCGCCGAGGGGGAGGAGAGAGGGATGAGGTCCGTGAAGCTGGACACGTGGAGGTCGTTTTTCGCTAGGTTTGGGATGGTGGAGCAGGAACTGAGCGATGTCCTTCTCTACCAAGTGAAATTGGTCACCGGAAAATGTTCCGGCTGGAAGTTTTGCACGACGAATTGGGATGACGGCAGCTTGACGATAGGGTGGAAAGGGACTCCGATGACGTCGGTTTCCGTTTGGAAGTTCGTTCGGACGGCTAGGCTCGTTAGTGGGCCCAAGGATTTGGTGGTGGAGTTCGTGTAAAGTTTGTTACTTGCTAATTATTGCTAGGTTCCATTTTTATTGCATTTTCGAATTATTAGTTTTTTTAGAGGTAATCAGTGATCGGATAATGACATTTTTTTCAATAATTGAGTAGTTTGTATCATATTATTTATATTTTTTTGTTAAGAATTCAATCGAAAGCAGCGGATCTTTGAAGCGTCTATAACTAAAATGGAAATTATGGTTTGTCACAGAGTCAAGTGGGAAAGAACTGTTTGTTTTTATTGAAAAATTAATCTTATTGATAAGCTTGATGGGGAATCCAAATTTTAGAGCGTCTTATTTATGATTCAACGTAATTGATAAGCTTAAAAATGGAATGTATGGCCTCATTGAGTCAGATGATTAAGACCCACTTTTTTGTTGTGTCTATATGGTAACGACTAAAACGCCCTTAACTTGGCTCCTCCCTGATCTATTTGGATTAGTGACATTTGGTTGTAGTTTTATAAAAAAAACTCCCTAATGTTAAACAAATATTTAAATTCAACGGAAAATATTATTTAAGCATACTCATATTTGGGAAGAAAAATAACAAAAAATCAATATGATCATTATTAACATCTCATCCAAGATCAATTTCATCTTTCACTTTTTCAACTTAAATTATTTCAGTATTTACATCCCATAATATAAGGTTTGATGTCATGGTGCATGGCAGTGGGTTCGAGTGGGTAGAACATATAATTTCAAAATAGTAATTATTACTTTTATTCTAGCATTTAGGAAAAACCGATGCAAAAATCAGATTGGTCAGATATTTCTCGATAAAGTCTATTTCTTCGAGTTCAATGGGATAATGACTTGCCTCGCCCTCTCTCACCTGTCCAATTCATTGTCTTAGTCTCTCTCTCTCCTTTCACAAATCGTGAATCATGACTCTAAATCTCACTCAGTCTCTCTCACTCACCTTTCACAAAGACTTAGTTTTTCCGCCATTTTCAATCCTCCGACCATTTCATCTCGCTTCTCCAACCCCCTCTCTCTGGACTATGGAATTTTGTCATGTATGCCTCTCAGTTCGTGATGGTTAGGTTAGGGGATGGGTTGGAGCCTAGAGGAAGGGGGAGAGCAGAGGCTGAGAGAGATGATGGAGACTGGAGAGGGAGGAAGCGTCGGGGGAGGGAAAGAAGAATCGGGAAAATTTATTTTATTTGAGTAAAAAACAGTGATTTAGGAGGAATTTATAAATTTGATTTCTGAATCTATATCGGATCAAACTGAAATTGCTTTGTCCGATTTTGATTAAAACCATTTCAGAAAATGCCAGATTTTTCGAGTTTTTTTATTTTCGCCTAAATTGAGATAAAAAAAAATCTTGTTATTCTGGTCATGTTTAACCGGATTGGATTGATTTCCCGCCTCTAATTATTGGACGGTCTCTATGGGGGAAAAAAATCTTTTTATAATTGGGCTTGTGGGCCTTCATTCATGTAACCAGACTGGGCCTGAGAATGGCCGTCAACCTCCAGCGAGTGGTACAAGAGTACGAACCCAATGGCCCAAAAAGTGTGCAACATAATTTGAGATCATCGGCCGCCCCGCATTCTCTTCCTTTTGCTTCGCCAGCTCATGAATTCTGTCACACCAACCTCTGTTTGGTTTAGGATCCAGATTATACAATGGTTCGCCAGTTTAGAAGGCCGATATCAGTGCTCCAAGAGTTTACTTCTTTTTAGCACAGCCCACGGTCCCATATTTTAGCCCAACTGAAAGCCACAAAGCTGCCCACCAAAGCATTGGCTCGTCTTTGGACCACGGCCCACTTCATTACCTGTCTAAATTGTGCTAATGCTTCTTTAAATTAAACATCGCGTGACTGTATCCATGGGCGTAGAAAGATGGAGACTTGAAGGACAGGACACAGAGACAGCCCAAGTACATGCACACTGCCCAGTAATCCTCGAGTCAGCGAGTGTGAGCTTTGATGTAGATAAAACATTATTTACCATTTTATTGATATTTTATATTTTATATTATCATGCTTTCTATCATAATAAAATTAGTCATATCTTTTCAAACCAACACAAAACATATTATATGGGTATTGTTATATATAATTCTAATTTTTTTTAAATAATAACTTTACATTAACTTTCTTTGAAAATTGTAATGATTCCAAATTAAATCATTTACAATCGACACATAGCCTATAGTTGAAACCAGTCTCCAAAATAGCAGTGACCGTTTTATTGGAAAATAATTAAAAAGTAGTAACGGAATCAATTGGTAAGTATTGGGTTTATATATGGAAAAAGAGAAGAGTTGTGATTGGAAAGTAACGGATAAAAATATAATTAATTTGCAAATGACTCATGGAGAACAGTCATTTGCGAGTTTCGTTGCGAGTTTCTTTATTTGTACTTTTACGCAGAGGTTGTACAATAGGGCTGCCCACTTAGTGGCTTCTAATGCCCTTTCATCGACAGCTCGATATTGTGTCGACTGTCGCGTCTGGTTTTCTAGCGTCCTGTAATATTTATTTCATTCCCGATCTACGACAAAAAAAAAATGGCTCATTTTATATTTTTGCTGCCTAAGTGACCCATGAAAATGGCTCATGTAAACGATACTTTAAAATCTTTACTCGACTAGTTTACTAGCCTACAAATTTCAAGTAGGGTAGTTTGGGCGTTTGGCATCACTGAAACATATGGTTTACACAGAAATCACAAGAAGAAGAAATAGTCGGTTCATATTGGTTCATTATAAGTCATTTGAATTTTACATAGTGACCGTTATTAGTTTTATATTTTTTTCCATTTAAAATTTACCGCTTCCAACATTATTTATTCACTTAAAATATCAGACAAACGACTTATTGTACAGGTAAATTCTTTGCATAGACACCCAATGAGGTTTCTTCCTAGTTCGTACCACATACTTTTTTTTAAATGTCACACTTGGTCACTGAATTACTAAATTGTGTCATGTTTAGTCATTAGAAAAAATTAATAACAATTTTGGTCACTCGAATTACTGAAATAGGTCACATTTAGTCACTCTCCTGTTAATCTCCGTCAAACTCCGGTCACTCGAATTACTGAAACATGTCACATTTAGTCACTCGAATGACTGAAACATGTCGCATTTAGTCATTCTCCCGTTAGTTTCCATCCAACTCCATTAACGGGAGAGTGACTAATGTGACTAATGGAGTTGGACGGAAATTAACGGGAGAGTGACTAAATGTGACATGTTTCAGTAATTCGAATAACCAAAATTGATATTAAAATTTTCCAGTGACTAAACATGACACGATATAATAAACAATATAATAAACTCAGTTACTTATTTTTTCGAGGAAGATAACCAGCTCATTCACCACCTTTTTTCTGCATTGATGCCTATCATCATATCCATCCATTACAAATGTATACACTCGGGACTCTGCCTCTCTTTTTATTCTTTTTGGTCGAGAAGAGAATATTATATGGAAAGGCAGCGGATTTCGCCAAGTCCTCCCCACGTTACTATTAGGAGTTAAAATACCAATTACCCGGTTGTCGGTTCCCCAAATTTCAACTCTCTTCTTCTTCTTCGTGTCGTTTACAACGTATGGCGCCTGTCGTTTCTCCCTTCTCCCGCAGCGCCCGAAATGGATTCCTATATCCCAAATGGCCGGTTTGTGCCGGCTTACATTCCTAGGGAATATAAAACTTTTACAAATTGATTAAATTCGTATTATTTTTTTCCCCTCTCATTATTTGAAAGGAGTTTAATTCCCCACGGGAACCAACTCTCTGATAAATTAATTTATTATTTTTATTTCCGTGAATATTCAGAGTTCTCTTTTGTCCTTATTGTAGATTAATAAAATAAACAAATATTCAGAATAAAGAGTTGTGCTGCCCTTGTCCTAATCGGACAAACCGCAAGGAGCTGAAACTGGCATTCTAATGGAGGAATTGGAGGGTGTGGGAATCGCATATCCTCTTTCCGGAAGACGACGAAACCCTATTTCTCTGATTGCAAGCCTCTTCCAGGGTATCTTTCTGGCAGCAGGCTAATTCACAAAGTGATTGTGATTCGATGAGGCTTCAGGAGTTGTTGCCCGAAGACTTCTACTCTTTCTATTTTTGTTTAATTCTTTGGGGGGTTCACATTTTGACCTGTTGTATTCGTCGTCAATGGCGAGGGGAGGAACTACTGGAGGCACTTGTGTATATGTTTTTTTTTATATAGACTTGGTGTTGTGTTGGTAATGAAATCAATGTTGCCCTTTGTTTAATTCTAAATTCATTAATTCGTCCAACGGGAAAATAATCGAGGTTTGGTCCCTAGACTTCTGTACTTTTCATTTAGAAGTTCACGAACTTAAAAAAAAAATCCGTATGAAGCGTCTTATCTAAAATGGGTTACCCCGTAAATTTATTGTTGTTTGCTATATGAGGTGGCTATAATTAAAGTTCTTTCATTTCAGTCCAGTAGCGAAGCCAGAAATTTGAATAAGGGGATTGATGTGAATTGTGGTAATGGCCTAATGGGGGGACTAAGGCTTTATCGACAACTCTATTTTTCTAACTTGTTTAATAACATGTAATTTTATCTGTATTTCAAAATTGAAATTCACAAGTTACTTTGGAGATTAAGTAGGGATTGATCTTGCAATAAATGTTACACATATCTAATCTAAGTCGAAACAAGATAGGCATAAGTCATGATATGGTTGTTGAACAATGAACACAAGCCGTATATAGCAAGGAGCTTAGTTTTGCTATTACAAGGGAGGGATATCTATCGCATGCATAAAAACAAGTAAATTTGTTGTTCTACTTATAAGTTATATATATAGTGACGCCCGTAAAACGAGATATATATTTATCTTTGAGACGTTCTTTATCGAGTATCTAACATTAATAAAGATACATGTTACTTGAACTTGATATATATATAGAAATATAAATTTTGATGTGGAAATGCCTCGTACGTCTTTTAATTTCATATCCAAAAAACATGTTAAAATCTACTTGGTCAAAACTTCACTGATGCCCCACATTACAAGAAAGTCTTTACCTTGAGTACGAGAGAGAGTCCTTAAACGGAGAACAAAAACATTCAAACTTCCTTAGGATACACCCTATCCCACACGATTGCACGTGGATCAAACGGTGTTGTCTAGACACTCTATGTAACATCATCCTGACACCAATTTGGAACACCGATACACAAACAAAGAATCATTAGCTTAGTTTTATATAGCTTGCAATGAATCCCAAAATACAATATCTATAGCAAATTCATGTCTCTCTGTACATCAAAATAGAATGTTAATAAACTCAAGGACCTATTTCTAACTAACAAAAACACAGGCACCTAAAAGTTTCAAAAACAAAACTCAGGGACCAGAAGGTTTAATTCCATCCGAATTAATGATTCTGTTTTGTATATGAAATGAACCCACTTACGTCCACCCGTTCTAGAGGCAGTAGTAGCATTGGAATGGGAAGCGGAAGGGAATCGAAAACGGTTTTGCCGTCTTCGAAAGGGTTTCATATCATTGCTTCGAAGAATCAGTCCAATTATTTTTTTCAAACACAAAAAACAATTGATGCCCCAGATCCAGAGCATCAAATACTGGAGAGAAAAAAAAAAGTTTCTTCTTTTTTTGCCCACTCTAAATCATTTTTTAGGTTTTGACAAACAGAAACAGACAGACACATCTAGATGCCAAAGCAGAGTCATGTCCAAGGCGGCAACTGGCGTCATTACAGTGAGAGCATCTCTACCACACCAACCCCCAAAAAAAAAAAAAAATGAAAGCATCCAGGAAAGGAAGGTAACTAACACATGGTTAAAAGTTAAAACTTTACAACAAGTCAATACGAATAAACTAGTGAAACTCATGTATAACTGATGCATGTTGATGATAGCTCTTATTAGTTCCTGCTTTGAAGTAATTTGGACATGCGTAAATCGTGAGTACAGTTGCAAATGATATCTTTCAATGTCGGTCATCGATGTCACTTCAACTGCAAATATCACAACGCGCGCTCCTCGAATATGTTGCATATAGAATATGAGTTAATCCAAGTTAAAGACGAACATTGAGTATTGAGGGTACATTTATTTGTTATGCATGCTGCCGTGTATTTTTCGTGGGTTTATGCTACTATATATGTCATGTGAAGAAAGCAGTATTACTGATTCATTGCTGCATTTGTATTGTTTCTGGAAAAAAAATTGAAGATGGTATATTCTTTCAAATAAATACTACTGTAGATTACAGGGTGAAAACTATCCTAAGGATTGTTTACACGATTGAATTGGAGGTGACAATTTGACTCAATTGCCTAAAAATGAAGCAATTTGGTCAAATTACCTCGTTTGACAATACAAAATGGAGATCCATCTCTAAATGAATCCTAAATATATATAATAGTATTTGAACCAATTATTCATATTAAGTATTTATCATATGATCGACTTTTGAACTAGCAAAAATAACATAAATTTTATCTCACAAGAATAATTCTTCTACAAATGGTTGGAATAATTCAATTTTTTTTATTTATTTTGACCACGTAGCTGGCTATGGAACAGCACCTAATATAAATCCTACGTACGTAGTCAGCGTCATCATAAAAAAAACGAAGCTCCTGCCTTCTGTTTCCCCGGGGATCAAATTCCAGCCTATTCCTTTCCTACCTAGTCATCAGCTCTCCGGCCCACACAAACACACACTGATGGCCGCCGGCAGCCGGAGATTGCTATCCACCGGCGAAATCCTCCAAGTCGCCAAGGCAAGGTTCCTCCAGCTCTCCTCCCAACACCGCATCGACCTCTCCAAGCTCAAGCACTTCTTCGACGCCTCCCAATTCAACCTCTCCGGCGACGAAATCAAGGACGTCGAGCTCGTCCTCCTCCTCCTCGCTTCCGCCCACAAATTCGCCTCTCGACAGATCGACCAGTCCACCAAATTCCTCAGCTGGTGCCAGTTCCTCTCGTCCCCGTCGGGCTCCCCGGCCCAGCGACTCGTCCACTTCTTCACCAAATCGCTGCAGGAACGAATAGACCGCGAAATCGGCAAGGAAGACATGGAACAGGATGATGATCGGGGCCGTCAGATGAAGCAGTCTTGTCCGAATCTCGCCTTAATCGCTTGCTCGTTGCAGCTCCCCTACATTCAGGTCGGTCGGTGTGTATTCATGTCCATCGTATAACCCACCAGTGATCATGCCCCCTGTTTTTGAATGGGATTTGAATTTTGAATTTCGAAATTCTCAGGTCACGCAATTTGCGGGAATCCAGACCGTGGTGGAAAGCGTGGCGTCCGCTAGGAAAGTACACTTCATCGATCTCGCGATTCGCAGCGGCGGACAATGTACGGTCCTGATGCAGGCGCTGGCGAACCGACAGGGAATTCCCGTCGAGATGCTGACGGTGACCGCGGTGGCGACGGGGGATTCGGAGCGGCGGAGCATCGAGGAGACCGGGAAGCGACTGGCGAGCTTCGCCGAGACGATGAACATCCCCTTCCGTTTCAATTGCGTGACGGTGGCCGGCGGGTTTAGGGATTTGAAAGAAGAAATGTTCGAAATCGGCGGCGGAGACGGCGGCGGAGGCGGTGATACCGCCGTTGCCGTTTACGCGTGGGATATTATGAGGAATGTTCGAGCTCAGCCGGAAGGTCTTGATTCGCTGTACGGAGTCCTCCGAAATCTGAACCCGTGCGCCATCGTGGTCACGGAATTCGAGGCGAACCACGACTCGACGGAGTTCGTCGAGCGGTTCGACGGCGCGATCACGCTGTACAGCGCGCTGTTCGATTGCGTCGACGATTGCTTGGACCGATCGGACGGCGACCGGGGGATTTTGGAATCGACGGTTGGGAGGGAGATTCGGGACGCGGTGACGGTGGTGGACGAGGACGAGCGGGTTTTCCGGCCGATGAGGGTGGAGGAGTGGCGGGATTACTTCTCCAGAGTTGGTATGGTGGAGCTGGAGATTAGTACGTCGTCGTTTTATCAGGCGGCGCTGCTGGTGAGGAATTTTGCCTCTGGGGATTCGTGTACGGTGGACAGGGACGGGAAGTGTTTGATCACCGGCTGGAAGGGGACGCCTTTGCTGTCGGTGTCGGCCTGGAAGTTTTACCGGCAGGTGCCGAAGAGATTGCGGCCGAAGAAGTTCGTGTAAGAGATTGATATAAGATTATCAATAACGCTAATCGTCATTCCTGAGTCAGATTAATTTTGTTTTCCTTTTTGTTATTCTTGTTGGTAGGGTTTTTAGGAAGGGGGAAGATTTGAAGGATGTAAATTCTTTGATGTATGCCCTGCAGCTATACATTACATACTGCTTTTGTATTACAGATACCAGGAATGTTCTTGATCTAATGAACACAGAGAGTTATTAACACTTAGATTAGTTGATTTAGTGATCATGAAATATATATACAACTAATCTTTAGTTCATTTAGGATTTTGATGCTATATGAACTATGAGAATTGCATGTACTATTCCATTGTTTGGTAAACCCAGGAGATCCATCTACATGCATAAGATAGAATCAAGAAACCTGAATTCCTTTCACACCAATTGAGTGACTGAGTCGGAATTTTTGGAGAGGTGAGTGAGTCGAAAAATAAAAATAAAGATCTAATGAAATGATACACATTTTTATTATTTTTTACAAGAGACCGCAATGACTTCTTATATTATGAAAAGTTTTTTAAATACATATAATTCATCGCTTATTTTTCAATATATAACCCAACCAACACATTGATAAATTGGTCACTAATATGATTACAAAGATCGTTCTTGACTAACTTCATAGTAAAAAAAGTCCTTCCATGGCTTACAGTTATGAGATATCTGTCAATTACAATTTTCGAAAGTGTATATAAGATTCTAATTTTAAATTTTTATTATCACGAAACATGAATTTTCACCGAAATCTCTGAGAGAGATATGTCGGCGCTTGACCAAGGTCGGCCCTTGCACCAATCTAACTATGGTGCTCAGAAGCACTATATAAGAAGGTGCTAATTACCACCGTTTTCATCCAACGATTGCGGACAATCCAACTGCGCTGAACGTTATGTGAACACAATAGCAAAATCCCTAGGGCACTTGCTGGTGTTCTTTATTGTCTTTCTTTTGTTTGGATAAAGAACACAAAAGCAATTTTATTGTACTTCACTTGACGTCCGGCTTCAGAAAAAGTCTCTCTTCTGCGTTGTTTTCCCTTGTAATGCTTCTGCCGGAAGAAGGGATCGCCAACTCGCGTTGACAAGACGCTAAACGCTTGCGCACAATTGGCCATAAGACTTATGGACAATGCAGGCAGGGAAGATGCCGAGTTTTTTTTTTCTTCTTTTCACCCCTTTTTTGGAACGTGATGCCGAGTTCGGTTGCAATCAAATCGGCAGTCTAAATGCGCTTATGGGAAAGCAAACAAACAGAAGGGCAATCAAAGGATCGGTTTTTGCACTTTGGTTTCAACTTAGGTAAAATCCAGCTCAGCAATCTTTGCCCTCGCTCTTTTGTATCTATCGACTATCAATGTGATTTTTTTATGTCTATCAATGTGATTTGAATACGAGGAATATCACTTGTTATGGGATATAATTAGAAAAAGTCCGCTCGCTATCGCTTCGTGTATGACAAAGATAAATATTTTTAAGAGTAATAGTTCTAATGTTGACCCAAAAGTAAAAGTAAATATCTTATTTCATTCCTAATAATTCTTTTCATAGGTTTGTTATTTACAATAGCATATGGTCGATGAACTTGCATAAGGTAGAGGGGCCGTCGAATAGATTATTTATGATTAAACTTCTTTCATGACGCTAATGTTTCAATTTGTATGATTTTTTTTTGGGGTTTGAGGCAATCGTGGTTATCCTTTATGAAATTTTTGGACTGATTGCAGGTTTAAGAAGGTTAAACTCGCATTGATAGGGACAAATTAGGTAGGATACCCATGGATTCGGGTTCACTTGTCTTTCTCAAACAAAAGTAAAAAACGTAATGAAAAACACTAAAGCTAAAACTCGCTACCGACTCAAAACTCGTCAACACCAGGTTCAACTCGCTTTGATCGGGTCGACCCAGTTTTAACAAATTCACATTTTACCCAACCTGTCAATTACAAAAAACGGATAAAACTCGCTCTCGATACGAAACGCGTCAACGATGGGTCAGAGTTCAATTGTCATTCTTAACGAAAAGGAAAATGATAAATAAAAAAAATGAAAGCGTACAAAACTCGTTTTCTATCCAAAATTGTGCAAAAAATCATATACGAAAACGTAGCAAACAATAAATAAACACAAAGGTTGTAGAATGTAGAGTGGGGTAAAAGAAAGACTTGGAACCTCTCTACTTGTACTTGGAGGAGAGTGAGAGCCATTAATGAATAGTGACTCTAACCTAGACTTTTATATATTAATTAATATCACTTACACATAATGTTATCTTAGATTTTTGTAGCATGATGTTAAGTTTATTTTTAAGTGTTGGTAATAATTGAAAAGTCGAATAAAGATATTATCTATATAGATGTGGCATGTGAGTTAGATGTTAGAGAATGGTATAAACTGGTTTATGATTAGATTGTGTGTACTCCTCTCTGCATTCCCAAAGACGTGTAACCAAATCAATCCCATTAGGTAGACTACCGAGCCAAAACCAGCTCCAACAAACTTCCCTTCCTTAGCAGCTTCCACTTTCTAAATAACATCCATGATCCAACCCACGATAAAACTGAAACACTCTTGACAAATATTCACCTTCCAACATATCATCAAATGCAATCGCCCAACAGCACCTACCAATAGACCTTGCCATTGCTCCCCATTCTCCTTTAATCGATCACAGAAGATAATTTGCTTTTAGTGTACTTCTGCTGCTGATCTCTTGCCCTTACTCCTATGATTGTGTGCTGCTTAATAGGCGTGTGCATATGATTAAGCGAGGGAAGTAGGTTAGTAATTAGCAGAAGCGACACAATGGCAGAGAACGAAGGCGAGGGGGGAAAAAACGTAAATTCGAAGTAATTACCAATCGTTGAGGGAAGCGTCGTCTTTGTAGTAGTGCTGTTCTGAACTCAACAACCGTAGCTTCCATCGTACATACCTCGCAACTGCTCGTACCTCGGAATCGGAGTAGGCCAGCAAGAGACTCTTGGCTGCAGCGCCCTCCAACAGGGCTCCTCTCTGCGAAAAAGTCCCGCGGAAAACAACTCCGGCCCTCTCATCCCGTTCCTCAAATTGCATGAGAAGATACACGGTGCAGAAGATTCTAAGTTGTTTTGAAAGAAGTAAGATTCTCTGTTGTATTGAAAGAAGACAATTTCCGGCTGCTCCGGATGCAGACCAAGCACATAGCAATGCTCAAGTTTATAGCCACACAACGTCGTCGCCTTCAGCACAGTTTTGTACTGTTGGGTCCAATGCACGCCGTCCTCTTCGAGTCTCCAAACAATCACGTATTTCCTTGGAGATTCAAGGTCAAATAAAATCATGTGAAGAGCACCCTGTGAGACAGAAATATTTTGCTCATGTGAAAAGCACCCTTGTGAAAAACACTCAAGTTCAAGCACCAATTCAGGGGGTATACAAGGGCGGAAAGGATCATATGCAACAAAGTTAGCCAGCAGGTGAGTCTGCTCCCAATACAACTTCCCGTTGCAGGTGACTGCATTGACCAGCGGCGATTTTGCATGCCTCTCCATCAAAATCTGCGTCCATTCCCCCGACTCCGAACAAAACAGCAGTATTGTTTGATTACATCCATTCTGGAAAAGGCACACCACGCGGAAACGATACTCCGAGTAAACAAAGGATGGTTCTGGTTCTGGTTCATCTCCCAGCTGCTGCACGAGTTTACAATTGCTACGGGGTTGACAAACCAACCCTGCTGCCAATCCGTCATGAGGCACTGGTTTCCCAGGGGCCAGAGGAAGAGCGACCCATTGCTTGGTAAACGGATTGCAGAGAAAGAAGGATTTGCCCAATTCGGAATAAGAATTAACGAACCCGCACAAAACCAAGTCCTTGAAGCAATCGAAGGCTCTGAATCGCGGTCGAGCTTTATCGGGCACGGGGAGAAAGCTGAGGATGGACTCCTCGGGGTCGTGTCCGGGGATGAACAGGGATGCTGGTTGGTTCTTTGTCTGGTGATGAGAAATAAAGCGGCGGTTGAAGCTGGGGTCGGCGATGAGGGATCTCCACCGCTTGCAGACGGATTTGCAGCGGCAGGAGGATCTAGGGTTTGGGAGTCGAATCAGAATCTCGACGAGGATATCGTCTGCCAGTTCGCTGAACAGGTGGTGCGGTAGAGGAGGACGGATCCGGCGCCGTTTTCTGGAGGCGGAAGGGGGAAGGAGCGAGCTAAGCGGCACATCCCAATCTGAGCAGCGATTCTCGGTCATGGCCATGGCAGTTGATTGGCGAACTGCCTGATTGAAACAGGTGACACCGTGACAGTTTGCGCAAAACTTATTACAGCAAAAGACTGACAAAGTTTATGCTCTGTTTCCGTCGATAAAGGAGCCGAGACAGAGTGGGATTGCCGGAAGATCACGATTGGAACAGCGAATCTCGGAGACCACCATGGATTGAAAGGAGAGGAAGAGGAGAATCCGAGCGGAGAGAAACGAGAAACCCTAAATAAATTGCGAGCTTAATTCTCTCTTTGTGTGTGTGTATATATAAATCCGATGAATGTTTCCTTTTCCGAATGGTAAAAGGAGAAGGGTGGCAGTCAGCCGGTTTCGATTTAACCGAAAACCAAAAACCGGTTATTGGTTAAATTGAGTCACCCCTATAGCTGCCGATCATCGAACGTGAGAGTGGTCACGGTTAGCCGGCCAACCGATCGGTTGGTTTCAGTTTTAGGCTCGGTTAGTCGGCCAACCGGAAAACTACATTTTCTAAATAAACAAATTTTAAAAAAAAATTCTGCACCACTCACTCCTAACCCCTCTCACTTCTCGATTCTTCTTCTTCCTATCTAGAGAAACCCACCGCTAACCCTTGCTCTCCCTACTCTCTCTCGATTCTCTTCTTCCTTTCCAGAGAAAGGAAAATCGACAAACCCTTGCCCGCCAAGCCGAAATCACCTCCTCCCTCACCTCTCTCGTTCTGCCCTCTCCCTCAATCGCCATTCTCTCTGCCTCTCCGTTGACGGCGACGGGAACAACAGTGGAACTCGACCTCTCTCTCTCTCTGCTCTTTCTCACTCTCCCTCGTCTTACCCAAAAAATGAGCCGAAGCAAAGCTTCTCCTTTTTGTAGGAAGAGGACTCTTCCCCTGAAACACGAGCACCCAAAATGGCGGGTTTGGCGGAGGTGCTGGTGAAGGCGGAGGGTTAGGCGGCGGCGGCGGGTTAGGAGGCGGCGGTGGTTTAGGTGGTGGGATTGGTAAGGGCGGGGGAATCGGCGGTGGGATCGGAAAAGGTGGAGGGCTTGGCGGCGGAGCAGGTGGTGGAGCAGGTGGCGGGATCGGAAAAGGTGGAGGTCTAGGTGGCGGAATAGGTAAGGGAGGTGGGCTTGGGGGAGGTGCCGGCGGTGGGAAGGGCGGAGGACTTGGTGGCGAACCAGGTGGCGACTTTGGCAAGGGCTTATTGGATTAGCTATGGCGGTGGTGCGAGTGTAGATCTGCTTCCTCTTCTTCTTCCTGTTAGGGATGGCAATTATGCCCATACCCATGGGTATTTTATTATCCAATCCAATTGGGTTGGATATGAAATTCAAATATATGGATATGAGTAAAGTTTGATGGGTTTGTACCCATACCCATTTACTTTGGGTTGGGTTGGGTTTATAACAAATGGATTTGGGTTTGTACCCATGCCCAAATACAAATTACAGTTTGGTACCTAAACTTAATAGATATGCATATTTAGTACCTAAATTTAATTTTTTTGCATATAAGTCCTCAAAATATCGATGGAAAATTACGTTTTGGTACCTAAATTTTTTTGGTCTTACATTTTGGTACCTAAATTTTTTAAGTTTTAAAAATAAGTCCAATTTTTGCATGTGTAGTTAAGACACCCTCAAGTAAATGGATATCCATATCCAACCCATACCCATTTAGATAATATCCATATCTAACCCAAACCCATACACACATCACCCAAACCCTACCCATAATAAATGGGTCTACTTGGGTTTGGGCAAAATTACCCATGGGTGGGTAAATTGCCATCCCTACTTCCTGTATTTGGGAATTTTTTTTGATTTAAGATGTGGGAATGGAGATGAATCTGGACATGTTTTGGGGAAGGTTAAGTGGGTCTCGGTTGGCCCGGTTAGTCGGATAACCGCGGTTAATTACCGTCGTTTACTCGGTCAACCGACCCCTTCCTTTTTCCATCCGACCACTGACCGTCAAGGTAACCGGTTGGTTTTTGGTTAGCTGGTAACCGACGGTTTTCGATTAAAACCGGCGGTTACCCGCAAACCGAAATGCCTGCCTAAAAAGGAGTAAGATCGGGGTAGCTCTGAGGTTTTCGGACAGAGGCGATTGGCGGGAGCAGAATTGGGCCGAAAGTATTTGCCCATGATATTGGGCCGAAAGTATTTGTCCAACGAAGCAGCCCATCATGACTCATGAGCCCAGAGGAACGAAAGCTCCAGAGTCCAGACTGTGCCACGTGCGAACTCTGCTTCATCCCACGCGTGTGACACTTGTCCTCGATGCCGATTGCCGATCGAACAGTCAGCCCCATAAAACCCTCCCTCGCCAACACTCACCAAGTAAGAAAGCGGTGAACGGCGAGTCCAGTCCGAAAAGCAAGAAGCGGAGGAAAATGGCGGATGCCGGCGGAATCACCAAGACTTGGATCAAGAAGCATATCATTCTATACACCGGAGCTACGCGGCACCCCTTCACCGTCCGAATTCGAGACGGATCCATCGATCCCTCCGCCTTCAAACGCTGGCTGGTATACTACTTCCCCCGTTTCCTTACTTTCCCCCTTTTCTCTTTTTCCTCTGCTCTCTCCGGCCATATGATTTTGATTGATTTTTTCTAATTTTGGGGGAAAATTACTCCGCAGGCGCAGGATTATGTGTTCGTTAGGGAATTCGTCCCTTTCGTGGCGAGCGTGCTAATTAAGGCTTCCAAGCAGTCGCCGGAGGATATGGAAGTCGTTTTGGGCGGCTTGGCGTCTCTGAGCGGTGAGATCGATTGGTTCAAACGAGAAGCTTCCAAACGAGACGTCTCGCTCGCTAATCTCACCGTCCACAACGCAACCCGGAATTACTGCAGGTTTGTAGATCGCTAAGCCAATGATTCTTGATTGTTTCTTCTTGTTTATGAAACTCGATACTCTGTTGGATACTTGGACTTGACAAATAGCAAGTTAGTCAAGACTTTACTGTTAGAACAATCACTTTGATTGTTGTCTCATGCTAGGTATGTAAAGGATGGATTCATCACGCAAAATTCGTAACATTAGGCAGAGCAAGTAGGATGGATTCATTACTATGGTGGGAATGATGTAACAAGTAATCCGGATCTAAGTTAAAGCGATTAATTAGTTGGTTCTTGATACGATATCTTAGTGTACAACTACTGCAAATTCTTGTGTTTTGCCTTCCTACGAGTTGATGTTGGTCATGGAGATCCATTATTTCCTTCGGCAGGTTATTGGAGAAGTTGACGTTGCCAGAAGTTGAGTATGCTGTTGCAATTACAGCATTTTGGGCGATCGAAGCGGTGTATCAGGAGAGCTTCGCCCACTGCTTGGAAGATGGAAACAATACTCCTCCAGAGTTCGTGGAGGCTTGTCAGAGGTGGGGCAGTCCTGGATTCAGAGAGTACTGTCGCTCCCTTCAGCAAATTGCCAACCGATGCCTAGAGAAAGCTCCTGAGCATGTTGTCGCGGCCGCCGAAACCACCTTCATCACCATTCTCGAGCACGAAATCGAGTTCTGGAACGTGAGCAGCGGTGGAACTTGAGCGAAGTAAGATCTGAAATCCCGAGGAAAAGCGTCGGTCCTTCGGTGTATACTCGTCTAGTGAAGCTTATCGAGCTGCTTAGGTTATCGTTAAGTCTGTCATGTGTATAGAGTAGTTCAAGTGATGTTGAATGAAATGTATGAATAAAAAGTTGTGTTCTGTTACATTGATTAGACCATCTCCATATCCCTGCTATAGGTTAGCCATTTCAACTATTTATAAAATGGATCTTACATCCACATCACCAATTTTAATAATTATTCAATTCTAACCATTTCAAACAACCTACATCCCTGCAATAAGTTAGCAATTGCATTTGATGAGACCTACTACATATTCTTTTCTTTAACAATACTTTTACATAATAGATAATAAACTTTTGAAAATTCAATAAACACAAAATACATAATGAAATTATATAATGTGATTTCTTTCTAGTTTTGTGATGGATCTTCAATTATAAACTATACCTCTTTGTATTAAGTTTTCATGTTCAATATAATTAAAATATAATTTATGCTTTTAATTTATTAACAACTTAAACAAATTATAAGCACAAGAATTATTAAGTTTAACATTTTATGTGTACAAAGTGGATAGGAAAGAAAGAAAGAAAAAAAGAAAGAATTTGGGTGCATGAATATGTGGGGTTTCAATTACTTATGTGGCATTGCAAAAGAGGATTGCTTATTTAGCAATCTTGCTAAATAAGAAAGAAGTGTTACATCCTTACAATTTCTTAAAGTTATTGTCATATAAGATTCCACCCAATAAGCAATAACAATAAGTAATGGGATGGAGATGCTCTAAGTTATTTCAGTTTGTATTGTGTAGTTTCTCTCTTGATAAAAGAGACCAAATAAGATAGTACTTCTTTAGGTGGCGCTTGATTGAATGATTGTTGGGCTGGGCCAAGGATTTCGGTATCCCAATCGGTACTTCGGTCAATCGATATTCGAATACAAAATTAATTATCTTTGTTATTAATAATTAAATATATAAATTAAATAGGAGGGAAAAACTAAGCAAAGAGTCTTGAGTTAAGATATTATTAAGGAGAATAAAGGAGATGAGACATCTCAAATTCTTGTCATTGGTAATCGTTCATTTGAAGAATTGGAGGTTGAGAGACGACTATTAATAGTGATGGAATGATATATATGTATAATTAAATGACACTCTTGGTGGTTGATGTTCGTGTAGTAGTGAACGGGAGAGTCTAGTTGAGAGAATAAAATACACACTATTTCGGTATTGATCGATACTTCGATATATACTGATCTCAATCCCGTAATCCTTAATACCGAATAACAACTGGAATTCAATCTCAATCTTAATCCCAATATATAATACGTGTATTCGATAATACCAAATATAGACAAATTGGGTATATTCAATATATTTGGTATCAAACTTCCAGCACTAGAAAAAATGCCTTTATGGTTGACTTTTTGGAGGCATTTCCAGATGTTGAGGCGTTGAAGTTTCCGTTTCTGGGTAATGGTCTCATGATTCTGTAGAAGGCTAGAAGCTAAAGGATAATGTTCATTTTGTTTGCTAGAAAGTCTGTCCACAGACAGCCGCCACAGTCTTCTTATCTATTCATTCGTCGGGAGCTACGTGTTGCCTTTAAACTTTGCTTCCCGCTTCTTTCAACTTGGCTTTCTTCTAAAAAAATTATATAATTGGTATAGATTTGTCTTCTTCCTTATCCGACCTTGATATTCCATTCTCAAGTTTGGCGGAATGGTTCTATATGCAAGTTTTTTTTTTTTTGGCGTAATCCTTCATGGTTTTACATTGATGCTTGCTCTTTATTCATTGCAATTTGAAGGGTGAAATAGAGATAAGCAAAATTAATTAGTTAGTTCAAAATTCTTTCACATCGTTGCCGTGCTACAAAATTTCATATTGCAGTTTTCTAATGATCGTGTCTCTGATCTCTCAGTGAAGGTTGCTTTTGATTTGTGTTTGGTCTGTTCCTATCTTAATTTTTTGTTTTGTGGTGATGAGTAAGTGTCATCTTGAACGCGACATATTCATAACATGCGATGAAAATTATCTTCCAGGAGATACAAGACATTCCAGACTTTTTTTCCCCAACGTGTTATGTTTCATTTCACGTCTTGTTGGTATAACATGGGTATTTATATTGTAACGAAACAAGTCTTCGCACACCTGACTTAAATTAGTGAGCGACACAGCTCTGGGAAACAAATAGATTTTTACAGGCTAACACCATAGCATTCCCCTAATGTTACAAACAAAGCCAAACCATAATGATATTTGCTTCAAACCGAGGGAACTCCTTGACTAAGTGCACCGTACGTGGCCAAATCCATTAAAGCTAACGACTAATTATACAAACCCAAACCATTACAGAAAAAAAAACCCCCAAAACTAACAAATAACAACACGTAACCAATCCCTAATCGTCATCATGATCATCTATTCATCTCCGTCACCAGCTTAACCCAAACAAATTAGCTAGAAACAATCCGTCACCAGCTGTGCCGAACTGCTCCGAACCCCGAAATAATCGCTCCACGGATTCTGAAATCCCGCCTGATCCGCCGAAAAATCCGGAACACCATCACCGCCAACCTCGATCTCCCCGTAAGTCGCCAGGACCTCGTTCAAATTCGCAGCGTACTCCGCGAGTCTCTCCTTCTCCGCCCTCAGCCGCTCGTTCTCCGCCTTCAGGGCGGAGTATCTCCCCCACGCGCCGCTCAGCTTCTGATTCGCCTCTCCGATGCTCCCTTCCAACGCCGCCTTCTCCGCGATCAAATCCCCAATCAGCTTCTGCCTCCTCATCCTCGATCGCCGCGCCGACTCCCTGTTCGATATCATCCTCTTCCTCTTCCTATCGTCCGCCGCCGCCGCCGTCGACGACATTTTCCGGCGCTCAATTGATCTGTAACAACTTTTAAGTAATGCTATAGCGAGCTAGGTTCAAGAAAAAGCGTGAAACCAATGGAGGAGGAGGATTGAAACGGAGTGGGAAGCGAGAATGCCAGAGAATAACGGGAGGTAATTCATCAGAAGAGCATGATTTTGGTTGAATGCGGTGGTGGTTTTTTTATATAGAGAGATCGGATGGTTAGGCGAAGAAGAATTATCCAATTGTGGAAAGGAGGGATTGGAAAATTAAGGACGGAAATTCTTTTGAAGATATAGGCAGCTGGCAGAAGAGGGAGAAGAAAATTATATATTTGTTGAAATGTGTGGATGGACAGTTGGAAGGGTTTCTCTAATATATATATGGATGGAAAACTAATTAGGGAGATTAAAGAGGGAATAAGTTTATGGGGAAATTAAGTAAATAAATTATGTACAGTTAATGATTGGATAAGACTGAATAATACTGTTGATTAATTTATTATTGCGTGCGGAGCAATGGCTTAATGAGTAGTGTACCAATGTCCATTCGCTTTATGTGGAGATAAAGCTTAGCTTGTATTGTGTATTTGTGTTTAGTATTTTAATATACTTAAATTTAGTACACTACTTTTAGAAAATATAAAGTATTCACTGAATTCTAAACTTCTCCATTTACAATTAGTAGAAGTGTGTAATAGTATATACATTTTGACATTTTTATGGGGAAAAATGAACAGTTTACTTCACATATTCATTTCTTCTGGTACGATTTAATTAATTTGGAGCATATTCTTGGTGTGTTACTTTCTTCGTTCCCATTTGAATCCTATCCCGATTTCCTATAAAGGCATACTAACAATTACTGGAGTTTTCTTCCTCTCTCTGATAAAAGAGAAAATGTAAATTTACTAGTGATTTGATAATATATCATTATTTTCGAAAGTCTTTGGTTCAAACTTTGGCAATCGTCCTTTTTGTGTTACTCTTTTGTTGATCACCGATAAATATGTATACCTAACTAAATTGATTTTATGAGTTTTTCAAGTATTCGATGTGATTGTGAGATTTGCCAAATACGAATTTTCCTGGGGAAAAAGAAAATTAATATAGGCACGTAGCTTGGAGAAAGGACCGGATGACTGCCAGGAAATACGGGCCTTTATTCAAGGAATGTTCCGTTTGGGCTGTAGTCCAACAACCCTTATCGGACTGGGCCGCAGAGGTCTAGTGAAATGGTCTTCCCTTATCGTCTCATATCTGACTGGCAATCAATTGGGCCTGACCATCACATGAAGTTCCGCCGTAAACGACCCAAAGCCTCAACAGTTTAGGACACCAATAACTATGCAGAATCTACTCGCACTAGTTCTCGATCGAAGTCTCCATTGACAACGCAGACCAAAACGAAAAAAGTCCCAATGACTGTGAACTCTAGTCAATATTCGATGGAACTTTTTCGACCAGTCACCAACTTGCCATTGGAGTTGGACTTCTTTCTTATATAACCAAAAGGAAGAAATTCCAAAAACGAGGCGGCTACCCTTTAACTAATGGCAAAGAAATCGTTTCCATAAAAAACATGCTACAAAAGTGGGTTGAAGAAACTCTATAACAAAAAAAATGTTTGTAGAAGATTTTAGGAAAATTCCACCTTGATAAATATATAAGAAATCCATCGTTCATAATCATCAATTTAATTTTAACCAACAAAATACGTTTCTGAAATAAATTGAAAGACTTTTTGTGAATTTTTTTTAAATTAAACGTTCTTAATGTAAGTGCACAAATGAGTGACCTTTCGGGAAGGCATTATTATGCACCAAAAAGTACTACCGTGTGGAAATAAACTAAAAACAAACAATATCTTGATAAAGAAAAAAGACTCGAATATTAGTTAATTACACATATCATCCACAAAACCCTTATGTAGGATCCAACTCGAAAACCGCACTCTTATTTCTACTTTGCGAAAAGCACATCATCTTTGCAGCTCTCTTTTATCGAGGATGAAATTCGATATACGTAAGGGTGCGTTTGGATAAGTGTATTTTAAATGTAAGGTATTTGAAATATTAGCATTTGAAATGGATGTATTTGAAATATTAGCATTTGAAATACATGTAATTCAAATTCGTTGTTTGGATACTTATTTGTAATTTGTTTGTATTTTGTATTTTATGATTTTCAATTTCAATTTTTAAATTTCTGGTCACTTACTACAAATTTTGGTAAATTACAGTTTGGTACCCAAATTTATTTTTTCTTGCAATTTAGTACCTAAACTTTTAAAATTTTACAAAAAGGTCCTGAAATTTTGATGGTAAAATTACATTTTGGTACCTTTATATGTTTTGCCTCACACTATAATACCTAAACTTTTCATATTTTACAAATAGGTCCATTCTTTTGTTAGGAGGTATTTCAAATCACTAGTTGTTGAAATGTATTTGGAGTTGAAAAATACACTAGACATGTATTTGGAAATCACCCCATGAATTTGACACAAATCCAAATACCAAATGAATTAGTATCCAAACACATGATTTGATATTTAGAAATCCAAATCACAAATACCAAATCCAAATCATTGTATCCAAACGCACCCTAACAGAAGTCAAAAGTAGAGTACTTTATTTTACAAAGCAAAATCAACCCGCAAAAGACTTAAAACATCCAAACTTCAACCACACCCATCACTCACCCTACGTAGCACTCACCAACGAACTAGTTGCGTTACTCAATTCACTGCCTGGAACCACATTCCAATCCCTAGTCGCACCATAATACACGTTATACTTAGACTGCTTCCACGGATAGAACAATCCAAAATTCTTCTCCAGCTCTGGATCCTTCTGATTCTCATCAAACATGGCGAAAAAATACGTCTCGATAAACTTGTTCGGCTTCTTGGGGCTCCCTCCCTTCACGTGCGCGACCAAGTTGTTCACGTACGCGCGCGCGTTGTCCATCGTCGTCGCCTCCCCTGCCCCGCCGGACGGCCACCCGCTCTCCGACACCACCACGTCGACGTTCCACCCTCCCACGCGCTCCACGGCCGAGTAGGTCGCATCGAGCATCGCGTCGAACAGGTTCGTGTACCCGAGCCCGTTGTCCCACACGGAGACGGACTGCGAGCTCATGAGCGCGTAGGGGAGCGAGATGGACCCCGGGTTGTCGCGGTAGCTGAAGTAGGTGTAGATGTTGGCGAGGAGCGGCGCGTTGACGCTGCTCAGGAACCCGACGATCGGGTCCACGAACCACCTTATGTCGTCGCGGAACGCGCCGGCGGAAGGCGGGTACGAGTTCCCCAGCAGCGTCATGTCGATCGCCGTCGAGACCTTAACCTGTTGGTAGAGGTGATAGATGGATTAGTGGATTGATGAATTCATTGATTGGATCAAATGGGTTTGTCCATTATTCAAATGACATTCAAGTCTTGGACCATTACGTAAATTTTGAAATGTTTAGCTACTAATATGTCATGATGCAAAATTGTAGGTACCAAAATGTAATTTTACAGTTATCTTTTGTAAAAAAATAAATTTTGGGTACTAAAATGCGAAATATAAAAAGTATAGGTACTGAGTCGTAATTTGTCAACATCCACCAATCCAATTGGATTTGGGTAAAATGAATTGAGTTTAAAGGAATTAGATTAGTTGGATATTTTAGTGGATGGATTGAATTGAATTCAGCAATTTGGATACTAATTGTCATCTCTACCTGCTCGTGAAGGCCCATCGAGACGAGCGCGTTGTAGATGTTCCGCATCGCGGGGAGCACGGCGGAGGCGAGGGCAGCGTTGTACATCGGGCTCACCTCGTTACCGACGGCGATGTACTTGATCTTGACGGCGGGGTAGAAGTTCTGGACGTATTGCTGCACCCACCACAGTGCGTCGCCCCAGTTGTTGAGGTGCTGGAGGTCCGAGTTCGGGACCCCCAGGATGACCTCGATGCCCGAATCGCGAAGCGCTGCAAGCGCATCGCGGTTCGGGTCGTAGAGCCTCATCCTCCAGATGTTGTTCTGCTGGTAGAGCTGGACCACCTCGGCTGGTGGGGGAAGGTTGTTGCCCATCATTCCGTAGCAAGCTCCGACTTGTGCTTCTGTTGGTTCGAAGTTGGCAGAGAAGAGTGCGAGGAGGAGGAGGCAAGCTGCGGCGAGTGATGAGGAGGCATAGCGGCTTGAAGAGGGGGAAGCCATTGAAGGGATGAGTGTACTTTGTTTGGCAATGGTTGGAAGGCTTTTATATATGTATGTATGTGGAGAGGGTGATGATGATCCTTAATTTCCCTGGTGGAAATGACCTCGTTTTGGTTCAATTTTTCAAAACCATTGTGTTGAAAATACTTTTCAAAAGGCGTATATGGATAAATTAAACAATGGCTAGTGTGTTATAAATCCAATTTTATAGACATCAAGTTGGCAAACATGGCATCACATGTATTATTTCTAAAGGATATATATCTCATAGATGGAATATACTTGGGATTTTATTTTCTATGATACTTAGAAGTTGTTAATTTGCATTATTGATTTGAAAATGATTGTTTAGAAAAAAATAGAGTTTTAGAAAATCTAAGATTTATGATGAAATGTTTAGCCTTGCGGATTTGAAAGAGTATTGTTTACTTATTGAATTTGATTTATAGAGTTTGTTAGATTAGACAATGGATTTATGATCATGCTTCAAATCCCACCTCTTAAAATGAGGTTTGCAAGTTCATATGGCCCATAAATTTGAACATTCAAAATTCGCTAGCACCGCAAATTTTATACAAATTTATTTTCTAAATTCATGAAGCAAACCAACTCAACTTAGCAGTATGTTGGATGTAGAAATGAAGTGGTGGAATTGGATCTAATTTAATCCAATAACGAGCCAAAGTGGATTATATTGTTTAGTTAAATAAAATGTAAGATCCTGGAACTTTTAATTCCGCATACTCTAATCTCTTATAAGAACTATCTACCAATCTGGTAAGATTTGTCAATTGCTTTGTTGAAAAGATAAAATCAACACAATTATTCCTCTAAATTTATCTATTAAAACAACAACATTTTAATAAATGTTATCGATTAAAATTTAAATTCGACTCGTTTCAATCTTCCCCATATCTCAAGAATCCTTTCTTCCAAACCATCCCTTGTAGGGCTGGCAATGGACGGGTTGGGTGGATTTTGGTCTAAAATTGACCCACCCGCTTACTAGCGGGTTGGAATACATGTGACCCGCAATCCACCCACATACTTATGCGGGTTGGGTTGGGTGGGCGGCGGATGAGTGCGGTTGGGTCGTGGATTAACCCACAAAAGCAATTCTCCAACTAGCCATTAAGAAAATTGACTAACATTTATAATAAATTCATAGCAAATTAGTAAGATTGTATCAATAATTTGTGATTTTGATACAATTAATAATTTATAGCATGTATCACATTATTTAATGGATATTAATAATAATTTGCATACCAATATCCAATGGATATTGCACAACACAATAACCAATAATAGTAATCAAAACTATTATTTATTCTCTACCTTTTGAAGTATATGGTCAGACTGTAGTGCAGTTCTAAAATATGATGAATATTTGATACTATAAGAAACAATATTTTCCATATAAAAATAGGACGCGGGTCATATGGATAACCCGCAATCCACCCACCATCCACCCAAATAAGTGCGGGTGGGAGATTTAACAATCCGCAATCCACCCGCATTAATCACCCACTATATATGAATTGGGTTATTTACGGGTGGATCGATATCAATTCGCGGATTAACCACCGTGCCCACCCCTAATCCCTTGTCATAGTGTCGCTACTCGCTACTCACTAGTCACTACGTACTTGTCTAAAATAGTAAAATGCAACCTCACCGACCAACCCGTCAGCTCATTTCAGATTTTGTCATTTCTCCCTTACATATTCCCTTCTCTTATATTCCAGATACGTAGATTTCAAATAAACTATGCATACAATCATTTGAAGGCAATTCGGCCTGCACAATACCGGGCCCTTCTGGGCTCTGGCTGCTGTTTTCATGTCTACGTTTTTTCAATAATAAACCATGCTTTTTTAGGTTTTACAAATAAAAATGAAGCTAGAAATAGGCACTTTTTATATACATAAATATATGTTTAAAGCATACTAGCTATAGGCATGTTGTGCAGTTTCTTAATGATTATCGCTCCTCCAAAATGCCGCCGGCTGCGCTTGCCTTAATTTATGTGGTATATGATGATCAGATCAACCAACCTACCACAACGTACAAGATAGAAATTTCGGTGGCCACTTGTCATGGGAAACATCGCACCCGTTCCTCCTCCAGTTTCTCCAACTTGCACTCGTCGATCCATAGACCATAGCCACCATATGTTTAATTTCTTTAATCGTTCTTAGTTTGGTCTATTGTACTCGTGATGATGATTACCCGTGAAGAATGAGACTCACCAACGCCAAATTGAGTTGCTTTAAGCCTTTTTAGTATAAGGACATTCGCCAACTTCTTAAACACACAAGCCGGCACTTATAAACCCATTAGTTTTGCATATTGTGTATTGCATAATGGTTTAATTCAAATTTTCTTGAGGGAAATATCAGGAAAAAATAAACGTTTGTCGCTCTCTTCCTAAATCCAGCTAATTCACCCTTTTTTTGTGTTTATTATAGTGTTATTATTTTTTATAGGCCAACACAAGATGAAACACATATTTGAATATGGAATTGCCCTCATGAAAAGGTATGGTTGTCACGCTAGCCGGTACGCCACCGGTCTGGTTCAACCGGTACCAATCATGAAATCGATACGACATCACCATTCACCAGTATGACCGACATGATCGATCTACGAATTTCTAAGTAAAATAACGTCATTTTGGTGAATTTAAATATGAGTAGATGTAATTTTATTTGAAATATCACATTCTATTAAAATATCAGTATGACCTGTACGTGAATTGTCTTCAAATATGGTTTATATATGATTAAATACATTTCACATTAATGGTTTTAGACATTTCTACATATTTTATTAACCGGCATTATGAACCGCCACAAAATGATTATACCACTAGTAGAATCATTCCACTTGCTAAACCGGCACAACGGTATAAACTGGTTTGACAACATTGTCTAAAACACAATGGTCCAAAGGTTCAACGACCACATGTGAGGCCCGAGAGCCCAACTCGTTGCTGACTTGCTTTCTCTTGCGTTTGTGCGGGCTTGAGCGATCGGGGTAGCCCATGGAATGGTCACTGAAAAATAGGATGGGCCAATCAGCCCAATGCAAGAAAAGAACCCTAGCATGTATAAATCGGGCTAGCCCATTAGACCAGCTCACAAAAAAATTGCACAAAGGATAAAAGAAATGCACAAATTAAAACTCGCAATGAGGCAAACCACTTCGTGACGCCGTCGTTTTTCCGGTTGCGTAACCAACACGTCCACCCAGCGCGCGTGGTCTGTTACCGCCAACATATATTAAATCCGGAAATATCTCATTAGGTTTCCGCTTTGTTTTTTTCTCCTCCACTTCCGATCCAATCCCACCACCATTCTGCCGTTACCACGGGGAAGCAAATTGCTTAACAAAGACATCGAAACGCTACGTTTCGCGTTTTCTTTCTTCTCCGTCTGTTGCGTCGTCCGCATCCCCCACTCTCTCTCTCTCTCTATCTCCCCGCTGCGTGCGTCTCTCGCTCTCCAACCGGCTCGGCTACGCATAGAGAAACCGACGAACAATTTATCGCCATAGTAGGAACACCGAGCTCGTTCATGGAGCCTGAGCGGCTGCTCTCTTCTTTTCCGGCTTGATTCGGACTCAGCGGTCACGGAAACGCAGTTGGAATATTATTTTTATTCTCGTCGTTCAGCAACTCCGGCCACCTTGTGGATCCCCATTTTATGCCGTGGAATTCGAGGTAGTTGAGAGGAGGCACTCGGCACTGTAAAACCCTAGCGGTTTTGATTTTCCGTTTCAGCTTTCCGACTCCGTTGAAGGTACTCGCCAGCAATATCTCTTTATTGTTATCGTTTTCCCTGTTTAGAATGTCTGGGGAGTTATGAATTGTAGTGAGAACTTAGATGTTAGGTTGGTGCATAGTTTGCATTAGATCGCCGTATAGAAGGCTTCGCGCTAATTTCCCTTGCGAATTTTGGGATTGTGCTGTGACTGCCAGGGAGTTGAATTAGGGTTTGCAGTAGTTATATCAGAGGAATGCATTTGGATTATTGCTCGGGCATTGGGGAACACGAGGAGGACCTTCTGGTTTCTGGTGTCCTGCCGTCTCTGTGATTAATTGTTATCCACATGGCAGAAGGTTAGGTACTGTCTTGAAACTTCTTTAGGTGTTGTATTGGTCGATTCAGTCATCGGGTTGTAAGAAATATACTGTGCTGTTGTTTGATTTGTGGATTTTTGAGTCTCAGATTTGGGCTATTTTGAGTTCATCTATGAAATCCATGCATTGATGGTGCAATGCGAATTTTTCCGATGTTGTTGCTTTGTGATTCCAACTGTGGCGATCAAAAGGATGGTAGCGCAGTATCATTATTCAAATTTTATGAAAACTCAAGTTGCCCAGTTTGCAATGCATGCAAAGACACTGTTAAGGAACTACTGTAGCGAAGCTGTGTGCTCCCCTTATGAAGTTATAATAATAATTTCAAATGTTGATTGAACCGTTTCTTTTTGTTGAAAATAATGTCACTAGTTACAACTTTAAACCTTTAGGCAACGAGTTTGAAAAATTATGTTGAAATAACCTCATCTCCAACTCCAGCTTTAACCTCTGATATTTTGAGTGGAACAATAGTGGTGGAAACGGAGTCTGAACTAATCATAGCAATGCACCATGTCGCTTGTTTATGATCTCCTTGTTTGCTGTGCATTGGTTTACTACGTGCTTGATGTTCTTTTCCAATTTTCAGGATTGCAAAAAATGGCACTTCAGAAGTACATCCCTTCGAGCAGTACACTATCTGCCAATACTATGAAGCCCCTGAGCTTTCCTGGCAATGGTTATGAGAAAGCTCATCTGTCAGATACTGTGACTCGATGCACCACAGAGCAAGATGTTGATATTGACCTTAGGGAAGTTTACTTTTTAATCATGCATTTTCTCTCTGCCGGTCCATGCCAGAGAACTTATAGCCAGCTATGGAATGAACTACTAGAGAATCAACTTTTACCCAGAA